GAAATTAAAAGACGCCTGCTTCTTGGGAGGAAAGCGATGACAAACCTTGACAGCATCTTAAAAAGCAGAGACATCACCTTGCCAACAAAAGTCCGAATAGTCAAAGCTATGGTTTTTCCTGTCGTAATGTATGGAAGTGAGAGCTGGACCATAAAGAAAGCGGACCGCCAAAGAATTGATGCCTTTGAATTGTGGTGCTGGAGGAGACTCTTGAGAGTCCCCTGGACTGCAAGGAGAACAAACCTATCAATTCTAAAGGAAATCAACCCTGAGTGCTCAGTGGAAGGACAGATCCTGAAGCTGAGGCTCCAATACTTTGGCCATCTCATGAGAAGAGAAGACTCCTTGGAAAAGACCTTGATGTTAGGAAAGTGTGATGGCAAGAGAAGGGGACGACAGAGGATGAGATGGCTGGACAGTGTCTATGAAGCAACCAACATGAAATTGACACAACTACGGGAGGCGGTGGAGGATAGGAGGGCCTGGCGTGCTCTGGTCCGTGGGGTCACGAAGAGTCGGACACGACTAAACGAACGAACCTTTTAAGTGGTATAGCTAAAATAAACTTGATTTCACAATATTGGGGGAAAACACAAATGTTAACCCTAGTGCATAAATTGGGCATTTTAAACAAAGTCTGTACAGTAATTTCAATTTGTGAAAAATCTTGTTTGTGGTAAACAGCACTGTACTTGTGGGGTGAAGATGTCATATGATTCGTTTGATTAATTATATTCCATCTAAGAGCTCTCTCATAGATCTCAAACCCCAACAAGGCTTGAAACTCTAGTTTTGATGAAGTATTTATCATTTGTATGAGCTACAAAAACACACTATTAACAGTTTCTGTGTTTTTATTAAATGGATTAAGGAATCTGAAATACAGGACAAATTAGAAGATTTTAAAACCCTAAATTTCCCCAGGTTCTTAGAACTCAAGAGATTGAATCAGTTTCTTCATATTTCTTGTGTTGTTTTGTAAATTATGAAACATGTGGCTTACATAATTTGGCGGAACGCCTCCTACCACCAAGGTCTACCCGGATCACCCGCGCGAGTCAGGAGGGGAGGCTAAGGAGCCTGATGCCGAGAGAGGCCTGGAAGGAGAAGACACGAAACTGGGCCTTCTCGGCGGTGGCTCCTCGCCTCTGGAAAAATCTCCCTCCGGCAATTCGCGCGGCCCCCACACTGGGCACCTTTAAAACCGAATTAAAAACATGGCTGTTTATTCAGGCCTTCCCTCCAGCCAACTCTTGATTTTTTCTTACTTTTCCTTTTTATTTTTACTGCTGTTCTTGTTTGATTATTATGTATTTGTCTATGTTTTATTATTTGATTTTATATTTGGAAGCCGCCTAGAGTGGTCCGGTAGGCCAGATAGGCGGGGTATAAATTAAATAAATAAATAAATAAATGTATATTTCTCATGTAAATGCACATCAGTTCTTATGCAGTTGTAGGCACATGCAACACCGTCCAGGTCATTTTATATTGCAGATAATCAGGATAGGGTGAGATGTTTTAACAAGTCTTCTTCCCTATTTTCTTTAGGAGTTGGAAGACCAGAAGAAATTGTAATTGTTTCAGAGCCTGGCCATGATAGCTTTGTAGTATCCAGAGCCCAAATTGTGAAATTAATGAATATTACTTTGCTCCAGCAAGGAACTGTTGATGGTATTATAGTTGTTGAATCTGGACATACAGTTTTGGAGAACTGCATACTGAATTGTGAAGGAACTGGTGTCTGCGTACTGGTTGGAGCTTTTCTGACCATTATAAACAGTGAGATTACTGGAGCACAGGTACTCTCTGTTCATATTAAGATAATATATATGTGTGTATGAATGCAAAGGACTTATACCGAGTACTGAGGACACTCCCCCCCCAAAAAAAATTACCGTGCAGTTCTGTACAGTTCTACTGAGGAGGAGGTCTCGTTGATATAGCATCACAGCCCTAGCTTTACTATAGGGAAAACTAGTGAGATATTGCACAAATTTTAGTATCAGCCCAATCACTTTTTAAAAAGACATGTGTACATTTAAACCTATCTTAGTGATATAATGTTGGGGGTTTGGTTTGCACGTGCATACTTGTTTATGTAGTACCTATAGAATCAAGAATCTGGAAACAGGAGACAGATCTCCCCAGAAAAGTTCAAAAAGACCATTGAGAAATGGAAGGTGTTTAAATTGTGAAGTTTCCCCAGGTTCTTTGATCTTAGAAATGGAATCACTGAAAGTCTTTTCACATTTAATTTTCATATTTTTATTGCACATGCAATTTACATAAATGCATAATATATTTTTATATAGAGGCACATAGGTCCTGATGCAGTTGTAAGCATGTTTAGCACCAGTCAGATCATTGTTTGTAACCGCAAATAATCAGGATAGGGCTAGGTGTGTTATATGTCATGATTTTTTTTTAAAAAAATGAAAATTAAGAAATGTTAAGAAACATTGAATGATTCCATCACTAAGTTCTAAGAGCCCAGGGAAGCCTCACAAGTTAAATACTGTATGATGTTTCTGTTACAGGCCTCTTTTTTGTACCTGATCATCTTCCGTTTCACATCCACCCACTATCACATTTGTTATGTGCTTTCAGCTCATCTCTGGTTCATAGTGACTCCATGAACGAGCGAGTTCCAAAATATCCTGTCCTCAACTGCCCTGCTCAGCTCTTCTAAATTCAAACCTATAGCTTCTGTTAGGGAGTCAGTCCATCTTGTATTTGGTCTTCCCCTTTACCTATTGCCTTCCACCTTTCCCACATTGTCTTTTCCAGAGAATCCTGTTTTCTCATTATGTGCCCAGAGTAGGACAGCTTCAGCTTCAGCATTCTTGCTTCTAGAAATCGTTCAGGCTTGATTTGATCTAGGATCCACTTGTCTTTCTAGTAGTCCAGGTATTTCTAAAACTCTTGTCCAGCACATTTCAAATGAATAAGTTTGTTTCCTGTGAGCTTGCTTTACTATCCAACTTTCAAACCTGTGATCAGAGATCAGAAATACAAGCATGTGGATGTATTTGGTCTTGGTTTCCAGTGACATGCTCTTAAACTTGATTATCTTTTCCAGTTCCTTCATTATTGCCCTTCCATTCTCAGTTGTCTTCTGATTTGGCAGCCATCTCCGTTTGGATTGATAATTGAACCAAAGTACTGTATACAAACTCTCTTAACTATTTTCTATTTTTTCATTGTCAATGGTAACATTTTGTAGTTCTCTAGTCATGATTTGTCATCTTCATGTTTAACTGCAGTTCTGCTTCAGCACTTTCTTCTTTCACTTTCAGTAAGTTATTTAGTAACATTAATGGATACATATCCCATTCACTATTGGACAGCAGTACAGTATCTCCAGTTCTTTCTACCTTATGGAACAGCTATCCTCACTTTGTTAATTTTAGTCTGCACTGGTCAAAACCCAGTTGGGATATGACGTGTGCCCAAGAGGAATTGCAAGTTATAACAGATATCTGATGATGTGTCAGGCACACGACTGAGTGTATGGATAGCATGAAGATAGCACCTTGTCAGTTAACCTGGTAACTTGCTTTTACATGCATGTAAATCATATGATTTGGGCCTCTATTCCAACCTTCCCCTCCCACTCTTTCCTGGAAGAGTATTTTTTTAAAACATCCAGGTTAAATCTCAATTGTTTTATTTCCCTTCCCCTTCTATGAGATGTATGATCAAAATAGGAGAAAGTGATCACAACTGCTGTTTTCTTTCCTGAAACCACTTTTCAATTTATGTTTATAATGAAAACATGAATGTATATTCCACAGACAGAGAAGCATATTGATTCTTCAGTATTTTAGTACTTCTGCTTTCTGCTGAGAATACAGTCAGGATTTCCGATTGTGGGGTCATGTGCTTTTCCTTCCTCAGGACTGGGATTCTAATTAGGGATGGGCATGAACCAAAAGAATCATGGTTTGAGATGGTTCTTGGCTACCCACAAACCATCCAAACTTAAACAAACCATGAACCAGTTTGTTTAAAAGGTTTGTGCCTGGGGGGAGGCGAAACTATTCCTCCACCCCCCTGCCTCTGTCGCCTCCCTACCTGGTCCTGCCACCTCCTCCATCTCCCTCTGCCATCACTGCTGAGTTTGCAACCCCCCAGCCTGCCCAGCCCCCTTCTCACTGCCCATCACCTCCCTACTTGGCCCTACCACTGCCTCCTTCACTGCAAATGGGTGATCCAGAGCGATGCACTGCTCATTTGCAGCCCCATAGCCTGCCTGCTGCCCTCATCACCTCCCTACCTGTGATCTCCTCGCTTGCCCTCATGAGGGACAGTGGCCTAGCTTCCCTTCCAGAAGCTGCCTCTGCTGTCTCTGTGGATGTGCCCACCTATCAGCTGATAGGCAGGGGCAGGCACAGAGGCAGCAAGCCTAGCTCATAGAAGGGAAGCCAAGCCTGCAGCCTCTCAAGATTGAGGATGAAGAGGAGGCAGCAACAGGACGTGGTAAGGAGGCAACGGGGGCAGTGGGAAGAGGGCGGGCGGAAATGAACCAGGAAGTTAAATTGTTAAAAAAAGTCTATAGTTTGGGTTGGTTCAGGTTCATCAGTTTTGACAAACCTGAACCAACTATTTTTAATGTCCCGGTTAGTTTTTTAGTTTGTGCCCATCAATCCTAATGCGGTTTCAAGACAGCTGCTGCAATTTATTCAGGTTTCATATGTTCCTTTAGCTGAACCATGCTAAAGGTTCAGTTGTCCGTGTTAAATGTACAGTGGTGCCTCACACAACGATGTTAATTGGTTCCAAAAAAATCAATGTTGTGTGAAACATCGTTCTGTGAAACACCATTTCCCATAGGAATGCATTGAAAACCGGTTAATCCGTTCCAATTGGAACAGATTGCCGTCTTTAAGTGAAAAAACCCATAGGAAACATCGTTGAGTGAAACAATGTTTCCTCCATTGGAATGTATTGAAGCCGACTCAATACATTTCAATGGCTTTGCGAAGTCTGTTTTCGCTCATTTAAAAGTGCCTTACAATGTTTGGAACAGGTTTTAAATGCTTGCAACCGTTAGCCCACCTCCTGAACCCTATGCAGACTTAATTTGGTGTTGTTCTGAGTCGTCCTTAATTTTTGGTGATTTTTTGAATTTTCTCTCATTGGAATGCATTGAACTTTCCGTCCAATGCATTCCAATGAGAGAAAATTCAAAAAATCACCAAAAAATAAAACGGAAGAGCTTCAAAAGCACTGAAGCCGGCTTCAGTGCTTTTGAAGTCCTTTCCGATGTCCCTTTTCGCTCATTTTTAAGTGTCTTACAATGTTTGGAACATGTTTTAAATGCTTGCAATCGTTAGCCCACCTCCTGAACCCTATGCAAACTCAATTTGGTGTTGTTCTGAGTCGCCCTTAATTTTTGGTGATTTTTTGTTTTCCCTATTTAAGTGCATTGAACTGTCCAAATGGGGAAAATTAAAAAATCACCAAAAATTAATGAAGACTCAGAACAAAACCAAATTAAGTTTGCACGTTTCACAAGGTGCACTATGGAATCCAAGCATTTAAAACAGGTTTCAAACATTTTAAGACACTTTTAAATGAGCAAAAACGGACATCGTTAAGTGAAATTCCCCCATAGAGAACATCGTTAAACGATGGGGGAAATTCCTCAAAAAAAACCATTGCTGTGTGAATTCATCGTTGTATGAAGCAATCGTTGTGCAAGGCACCACTGTATACATGAAAGAAGTCTGTACTTCAGTGCTCTTCTGTGGAAAAAGAACCTGTAAGTACAAAGCTGGTATCATAGACAGAATGACAGCAGATTAGACATAACTTGGCCATATTACTTTTCTTAAATTAGGACAATTTTTTTCTCTATAATGAAATGGTAAAGGAAACAACTCCCTCTACAGTCTAAAGTTCATAAAAAGGTTTACCATTCTACTGATGGTAATGAACAATACTTAGCTTCAGCAAGAAGGGTTGTGTACCCATTTTCTTTCAAATTAACCATGTTGCCAAAGAACTAGATAAGATTGGTAAAAAGTATATAACATGTGAATAGTCTCATAGCCTCTCTAAATGAAAGCTTAACAAGTTAAGACAAATGCTGACTTCTGTTGAGTAACATCTGTACCGCATTCAAACCCCAACTGCTCATCTGTAGGCAAGAACTGTGTGTGGAGGGAAGAGTACAGTAACAAGGCTTGATTTCTCCCTTATACCCAGTGTGAGAGGATTCAGCCACCATGTCTTCTGTATGCCTTCACAAAGGGCTATTTTGCAAGTACAGTGGTGCTCCGCATAGCGACGTTAATCCGTTCCAGGATTGTCGCTATCCGGAAACATCGCTATGCGGGGGGGAACCCCATAGGAACGCATTAAACGGAGTTTAAGGAAACATCGCGGGGACAAAACTCACCTTTATGCGAAAATCCTCCATACGGCCACCATTTTCTCTGCCCGATAAGTGAGGAATCGGGGCAGAAACACAGCAGGCAGCCATTTTGCCATCTTCTCCACTCCAGCCCCTCCCCCTCCCCACCTTACAGCTAATCTGTGCCGCTCTTAGAAGCTTGCCCAGGCTTGCCCAGCAGGTAAACAGGCAGTGGAAATGCACTGGGGAAGCCTCTGAAAGCGGTGCTTTGCCGGGGTGGGGGTGGGTGGGTGGCAGGGGCAGGCCTGTCACCCCCGCCCCCCCAGTGCCCCCCTGCGGCAAAGTGGGGCTTTCAGAGGTGCATTTTCACTGCTGAAAAAGCCCCAGGAGGCTTCTGAAAAGAAGCCTCCTGGGACTTTTTCAGCAGTGAAAATACACCTCTGAAAGCCCCGCTTTGCCGTGGGGTGGTGGTGGTGGTGGTGGTGGTGGTGGGGTGGCGGGCATGCCTCTGCCACCCCCACCTACCCCCACCCACCCTGGCAAAGCGCTGCTTTCAGAGTCTTCCCCAGTGCATTTCCACTGCCTGTTTATCTGCTGGGCAAGCTTCTAAGAGCGGCGCGGATCAGCTGTAAGGCGGGGAGGGGCTGGAGTGGAGAAGATGGCTCTCGGCTCTTTTCTGGAACGGATCGCTTCCCCCCCTCATCGCAAACGCCTCGTTTTTGCACAGCTGATGGGGGGCCTTTGCTAAGATCGCTGGCCCCGCCGATCAGCTGTGCAAAAATGGGGCGTTTGCGATGATGGGGGGGAAGCCATCATCGCAAAGCGATTTTCCCCTATAGGGAACATCGCAATGCGATCGCTTTTGTGATCGCAAAATCCACATCGCTATACGGATTCGTCGTTAAACGGGGCACCCGTTAAACGAGGCACCACTGTAGCTGGGTAGGGTTCTAAATGCTTTGCATTCACACGATACTGACATAAGTCACAAGAAAATTAAACTTAGGTATTATTCCTTCCTGCCAGGGTGCTGGAGTTGAGTTGTACCCAGGAAGCACAGCGACTTTGGAGGGTAACAAAATCCATCACTGTAGTAACTTCAGAACCAGTGACACCTCACAAGGCAGTCTTGGTGGAATCAACATCAAGGTAAATCATTACTGATAACAAATGTTCACTGTATCAGTCTACGGCAAGTACTCGTAGAAGATACACAGATTGAAAGGCTTGGATATACAGTATTTCAAAGTTTAACTAGATAAATTCAGTGTTCTATTAAGTAGATAATCTTTAAGGAGCCACAACATTGTTGTGTTCTTTTTCTTTTGTTCTGCCTGATAGATAATTTGACTAACTTTGAAAATATCAAGTTTATACATACATTTTTAATTCCTCAACAGGTTCTTCCTGCCCCTAAATTAAGGATGAAAAATAATCATATTTATAGTAACAATGGCTATGGAGTGACAATTATTAAGCCTTCTGAACAGCTGTATCCTGCAGATGAAGAAAGAGTGGAATGTGCTGCGGCAGGAGATGGAGAAGATTCTGTTTCCAAGCTAATGCAGGAACTGAGCCTTGAGATAAGCACTAACACATTAGAAGACAGCACAAAAGGCATCAGCATAGTTAACTGGAACTAGGTTTCACCTAGTTTCAACTATTTGCTGTAGTACAAAGGAAATTTTGCTTCATTAAAATATATTACTGAGCATTACTTTGAGTATTTTTAAAACATGAAATACGCAATTGAGTACTATTTTAAAGTTAAAATCCAGCTCTTCACAGATTGGCATTAATAGAATATTTAAATGTTCTCAATAATCAATTCTATCTCTCTTTGTTTTCCTTGCCAATAAAGTACCTCTTCATTTTTTCTCCAATCAGTCCTTGGGATGCAAAGGATTTTTCTGTATGTTCATATTATTCCTATTGATCATATCCTTAATAGTCCAAACCTCAAATCCATAGAAGAGCACTGATTGTATGTACCACTTTAATATCCTCAGTCTTAAAGATTTATTTATTACACACAATTTTCTTGCAGTCATAAAGATTGTTCTAGCTATGTCAGATCTTTACTTTATTTCTATACTACAGTCTATCTGGTTAAATGTCCCAGATACACATTTGTCTACTTAGTCTCTATATTAATATTACGTATAATATTTATATTAATGTTTCCTCTACTTACCAACATTTTTAGCACTGATCAAATCACATGTTGTTACTTTCTTCTCTGGACCAAACTAACAGTATTTGATGATCACCTGAACTTCCAGCAATCAGAACTATCTCACTGGTCTATCTTAATATTATTTAAAAGTACACTGTTTAATTTAATGCCATCAGAACTCTCAGCAACAGTATTTTGCGTAAACTTTTCCGAATAATTATTAAACAAAACTGGAGATAAGACATATCCTTGGTAAAGGTAAAGGTTCCCCTTGACATTTTTTGTCCAGTCGTGTCCGACTCTAGGGGGCAGTGCTCATGCCCGTTTCCAAGCCATAGAGCCAGTGTTTTGTCCGAAGACAATCTTCCATGGTCACATGGCCAGTGCGACTTAGACATAGAATGCTGTTACCTTCCCACCGAGGTGGTCCCCATTAATCTACTCGCATTTGCATGCTTTCGAACCACTAGGTTGGCGGGAGCTGGGACAAGTGACGGGCGTTCACTCCGTCATGTGGATTTGATCTTACAGCTGAAGAGCTACATCCCTTACAGCACAGGCTTCTGCGGTTTAGCCCACAGCACCACCACGTCCCTCTAAGATATATCCTTGACAGACTCCTAATTTCTACTTCATTAGTTTTACCATCTATTTTGTTCTTGTTTAGTCGTGTCCTATTCTTTGTGACCCCATGGACCAGAGCACGCCAGGCCCTCCTGTCTTCCACTGCCTCCCGGAGTTGGGTCAAATTCATGTTGGTAGCTTCAATAACACTGTCCAACTATCATATTCTCTGTTGTCCCCTTCTCCTCTTGCCTTCACTTTCCCAACATCAGGCTCTTTTCCAGGGAGCCTTCTCTTCTCATGAGATGGCCAAAGTATTGGAGCCTCAGCTTCAAGATCTCTCCTTCCAGTGAGCACTCAGGGTTGATTTCCTGCAAAATGGATAGGTTTGTTTTCTTTGCAGTCCAGGAGACTCCCAAGAGTCTCCTCCAGCACCACAATTCAAAAGCATCAATTCTCTAGCGGTCAACATTCTTTATTGTCCAGCTCTCACTTCCATACATTGCTACTGGAAAAACCATAGCTTTGACAATGTTGACCTTTGTCAGCAAAGTGATGCCTTGATATTTTCAAAGTTAGTCAAATTATCTTTTTAAGATGCTGTATAGGTTTGTCATCGCTTTCCTCCCAAGAAACAGGCCTCTTTTAATTCCGTGGCTGCTGTCACCATCTGCAATGATCATGGAGCCCAAGAAAGTGAAATCTGTCTCTGCCTCCGTATCTTCCCCTTTGATTTGCCAGGAGGTGATGGGACCAGTGGCCATGATCTTAGCTTTTTTGATGTTGAGCTTCCGATAATTTTTGTGCTCTCCTCTTTCATCCTCATTAAGAGGTTCTTTAATTTCTCCTCACTTTCTGACATCAGAGTGGTATCATCTTCATATCGGAGGTTGTTGATATTTCTTCTGGCAATCTTAATTCCAGTTTGGGATTCCTCCAGTCCAGCCTTCCGCATGATGTATTCTGCATATAAGTTAAATAAACAGGGAGACAACATACAGCCTTGTTGTACTCCTTTACCAATTTTGAACCAATCAGTTGTTCCATATCCAGTTCTAACTGTTGCTTCCTCTACCACATATAGGTTTCTCAGGAGGCAGATAAGGTGGTCAGGCATTCCCATTTCTTTAAGAACTCGCCATAGTTTGTTGTTGTGCACACAGTCAAAGGCTTTTGCGTAGTCAGTGAAGCAGAAACAGATGTTTTTCTGGAACTCTCTGGCTTTCACCATAATCCTGCGCATGTTAGCAATTTGGTCTCTAGTTCCTCTGCCCCTTTGAAATCCAGCTTGTACTTCTGGGAGTCGTCGGTCCACATACTGCTGAAGCCTACCTTGTAGGATTTTGAGCTTAACCTTGCTAGCATGTGAAATGAATGTAGTTGTACGGTAGTTGGAGCATTCTTTGGCACTGCCCTTCTTTGGAACTGGGATGTAGACTGATCATTTCCAATCCTCTGGCCATTGCTGAGTTTTCCAAACTTGCTGGTATATTGAGTGTAGCAATCACCTCCACCAGCCGTGTTGCTAGCCATGCTTTCTAAGGCACATTTCACTTCACTCTCCAGGTTGTCCGGGACATCCATATCTTTCTGGTATAATTCCTCTGAGAAATTTGCCAACTTTTTAAAACTTAACTGTTTGTTCCCAAAATAAGTTTTTTGCTACATCCATTTCCTCACCATTACTATAACTGGCATAATATCCCTTTTGATTTATGATGCTGAGGGAGCTGGACAGGGGACAGATTGTATTTGTCTTCAGTATGGAAGGGATTGTCACTCTCAAATTGGCCTTCTCTGCCACACTAGACGCTGTTCTAAGTCCTCTATTCAGAGCACATTACCAGTCTATTGAGACTGAAGGATGCCTAATCTACTCTGATGCTGAACTGTATCAAATGCTTTTTCTTAGCCAATGAAGCATAGAGACTTTGATATACAGTACAGTGGTGCCCTGCATAGCGACGTTAATCCGTTCCAGGATTAACGTCGCTATCCAGATTCGTCGCTATGCGGGGGGGGAACCCATAGGAACGAATTAAACTCCATTTAATGTGTTCCTATTGGGGAAAAACTCATCGCTATGCGGGGAATCCTCCATCCGGCCGCCATTTTCGCCGCCTCAGTAAGCGAGGGCAGGGTGCAAAAATGGAGCAGGCGGCCATTTTCTGCACCCGGCAGCCATTTTGGAACCGCCGATCAGCTGTTCCGCAAACATCGCAATGCGAAGATCTTGTGTGCCTTCCTGGCCTAATTCCAAGCTGTGTATTGTTTATATTATCCTGACATTGTACTTTAATTCTTTCATATATAAATTGAACAAAGATACTTAAAACTTCGCTCAGTAGGCTAAGTACCCTACATTTGTTGCACTTTTTCTGCAGTAGTCATTGCAGAATTGTTATAAATATGAATCACAAACGTTCTACAGTGGGCCCTCGACTTACAAACTTAATCCATTCCGGAAGTCCATTCGTAAGCTGAAACGTTTGTAAGTCGAAACCAAATTTCCCCATAGGAATGCAAATTAATTAATGCGTTCGTATGGGGGGGGAAGGTCAGAAACTTAAATATAAATAAAAGAAAGCCACTTACCAGGCCTTGGTAGCCCCTGAACTGCAGGAAAAATAGCACCAACAGCTAAAAGCCTGGCAGCCATTTTGTGCTCTTCTCTGCTCCTGCCCCCCTTTCTCCCCGCCTAACAGCTGATCAGATGGCTCTTAAGAGGCTTCCGGAAGCTTGCTCAGCACCTAAAAAGGAGGGGAATAAAGCTCCCCCCGCTTTCAGAAGCCTCCCGGGGGCAAGGGAAAAGCAGCAATTTTTTATTTGCAGCTTTATTCCCCTGACTTTTTAGGTGCTGAGCAAGCCTCTGGAAGCCTCTTAAGAGCCAGCCGATCAACTGTTAGGCAGGGAGGGGGGGCAGGAGTGGAGAAAAGCACAAAATAGCTGCCAGGCTCCTTGCTGGGTGCCGGGAGAGGCGGGGAGGGAGGGGGCACTTTTTTTCTGTTTGTAACTGGAGGTAAGTTCGCTTGTTGGGTTCCCTGTTTCCCTATTGGAGCGGTTCTTAAGTTGAATTGTTTGCAAGTAGGGCAGTTCATAAGTCGAGGGTTGACTGTATAGGAATTTTTCCTTGGTTACATTCCATATTAAACAACTTTGACAGCATTTTAATACCAGTGTCTATCACTTGTAGAAACACTGTTCTCATTTTGAATTGCAAACAATAAGCATCTTTTTATTTTAGCAGATGCATTTGCAGCAAACCCAAAAACTTGACTTTTGAATGAATGAAGGGCACTGAAACTACTCTGGCAGTTGGAGCTGGTGTAGACCCACTGAATTAATGGTATTTACTAAGTGTTGATTTGTTACTCAGCAGTTGATATAACAGGTTTAGTGCATTTGGAAAGAGCAGCTGAAGTGGAGGAGAAGGGACAGAGGGTCAAATTACCTTTTCAGCATAAGGCAACTGGCCACAATCATAATGAAAAATGAATGCAGTTTTAGTAAAAGACTAGATAAAGGTGTGAACTAAGGATAAATTGCAACCTGCATTAGTGGCTGTCCAACCTTCATGTGTTGACATTCACATCTACCCTTCCAGAACCACTGCAATCAAGTCATTTGACATTCTAAAAGTCTTGACCCTACAAATCAGCCTGTCATCTTGTTCTTTTCCACTGAAGTCTGCTTCTTGGTGGCAAACCCTCTCACAGAGGGTACTTCCCTAATGACACCAACTCAGTGTTAATTTGACAAGTCTCACAGTAAGATACAGCTATCACCCCAAACCTAGGGAATAAAGTCCTCCTGAAACTCCAAGTCCTGCCTTCCAGATTGCTTTCAGAAAGGGTTGGAAGTTACAAACGTTTGGAACTGACAGGACAGATTACAGCTGATTTTAAACACACTTTTTGCTATAAAATACATTAATTTTTGGGACCGGAAATAACTACATTTTCGTTGTAGAAGATACACCCAGTTACAGAAAAGCAGCATTAAAAAAATACATTATTTACGTCTTGCATCCTGAACCTAGTACAGTACTGATACCTTTTGGCAGGACAGATTAAATTTACTCAAAATTTTGAGTTGTTCCATTTATATTTCTTATAAGCATTAAAAATACCAGACATTTAAATCCATATCAAGATAAATATCCCAGTGCATTATCAGTCCATTTAAAAAAATGACATGGTTTATTAGGATTCATATGACCATATGGAATACCATTACAACCATCTGAATATTCTATATGAATACGAAAATTCAAATCAATGTTGAAAATTGTTGTGAACTCCATGACTGAACATTTCCACATTAAAAGCAAAGAAATGGTTTGGGTGGTATCATGCATCATTTTGGGCTCGGATATCATCATTTCTTCAGTAGCCACCCCTACCTCCCCAGCCTCCTCTAAAGCCAGCACCTCTATTTCCACCACTTTGATAGCCTCCACCAGAGCCACGAAAGTTTCCACCACCTCGAAAACCACCACCACCTGAGTATCCTCTTCCCCAAGGGCTACCACGGTAAGAATTATATCCACTTCCATATCCACCCCTGTAACCACCACCTCCTCTTCCTCTGTAGCCGCCTCCATTGTCATATCGAGCCATTTTGGGTGGACGTGGGCCGTCACCATACCTAAGAACAAAAATTAAAGATTTTTGGTGATGTGTTCAATCTGTTAATACAGTTATGGCTTTTAACTAAGGTTCCCTCTAAGATGTGTTGCTGCACAACTCTACCGCCCTCTGCGCAGCCTTCCTCCTCTGCAGCAACAGTGATTGTTTTCAGCCCCTTTGGTTCAGGTCGTGATGGAAACCCATGGGTGGGGGGAGAACCACGTGCATGAGGTGTAGAGCTAGTTGGAACATTGCACTTTAAAGTCAAACAACTTTATTTTACACTGATAAACTGAACTGTGAAAAACTGTGCCCTTATTCATTTTCATACTCAAATATCAAGCATTCTAAGAGTTTAAATGTATCTATAGTACTTGCAACTTTATAGAAATACCTTATTCCCTTTCTTGGTACAGTGGTGCCCCGCAAGACGGGCACTCCGTTTAACGACGAAACCGCTTGACATCGATGTTTTTACATGATGTTCCCTATGGGGGAATTTCGCTTTGTGATGATCGGTTCCCTGCTTCGGGAACTGATTCTCGCAAAGTAATGATTTTTTAACAGATGATCGGCGGTTTCAAAATGGCCACCGGGTAAACAAAATGGCCACCCGCTGTTTTCTGGGACGGATTCCTCGTTGCACAGGCAGTGAAAATGGCCACGCTATGGAGCATCTTCGCTGGACAGTGAGTTTCCAGCCCATAGGAACGCATTAACCGGGTTTTAATGTGTTTCTATGGGCTTATTAAAATCGCTTTACGACGTTATCGTTCTACAGCGATTTTGCTGGAATGAATTAACATGGTAATGCGAGGCACCACTGTATATTATCGAAAGCCCAAATTGTTTCAAGCCTTTCATTTATAAATAACATCCCACAACAGTCCTTTTTTTGGCATATTTTTCAGCTCCTCCTTGAGCGGGGATAAAAGGAGCCTGCTTCTCTGGCATGGTCTTTGTCATAATACCTTCTACTGAACATTGTGTTTATATTTTATATCCCTAATTGTTATTGCTTTCTGTTGTAACTCAAATGCATATGCTGTCCTTTAACAAATACTTCACTGTGTTGATAAATCATGTAAAAGAACAGGCAGCACAATAAAAACTAATAAAAATGAGCAACTTAAACAAAAGCAGGGAGCATGTAATTTCAAATACAGATCAAATCCCATTAAAAGCCCAATATGTATAGGCTGAGGGAATTTCTGGAAAGACCTTGTCTGGTGGCTATGTGCTTAGGTTTAGTCAGAAAAGTAGTCAGAGAAGGCCTTCTGACAAAAAAATAACCTCCTCAAGGCAGGCTCATGTGGAGAAAAACACTCCAAGTTCCAGCTTGTTTTTAGAGCTTTGAAACTCAAAACCAAACTTTAAATTTGGCCTGGAAACAAACTGGTAGGAAAAGAAATGTTTTAATGCTTCCGCAACAACTAGTCAACAGTGCTGTTGCTGCTGCAGTTAAAGTTTTCAAATGCATTTAAAAATTAAGCCCCATGCAGACTACATAACAGAAAACCAACCTAAACATGGCAAAGGCACATATAATTGAGGTAAGGTCACCACTCACGATAACATGGCTGATGCATCAGCTGAAATAAGTGAAAGGCAACACAAACTACTGATGTGTAGCCTGTTCATGCAAGATCAGCCCCAGATCAAGCAGCTCCCCTAACGATGCAAACCTGGTTCTTAAGGGGAAATGGAGCCTCATTCAGAACACAGTAGCCACAGTCCTGTTGCTTAGTGCTGAAAACTGCACTAGAGTACACCCCCTGAATTATTATGGGTCACTTAACCCTTACATTCCATTGATTCAGATAGGCCTACTCTTATCTGTGACTTACTGTGCTATATTTACTAGAATTCTTGTCAATGACTGCTATTTACTGAATGTACTTTCAAATGATTTCAAAAATTTGGTGAATATGTAATTGTAAGGTTTCTTTTACTATATCATAATTAAATATCTGCCACTCCTCATCTAATCATCCAGTTGGGTAAATATCCTGAAATCTATGGTTTACCTTCTTATTATACTCTGCCCCAAAGCAGGAATCCTTTTCTGAAAATACGTGTATTTGTAAGTTTGATCATCTCATCTTCAAATTACTCATGCATGAAGTTATTTTCTTTCTGTACAATCAAATTGGATTCAACTTATAGCAACCCTAATAAAGTTTTCAAAGTAAGACACTTAAGGACTGGTTTTCTCAGTGCCATCCCACCCAATGAGTCTCTGTGACTAAGCAGGGATTTAAACTCAGCTCTCCTGAATCCTAATCCATCACTGTCCATGACACCATATTGGGTACCATGTTACATTACCAGTTTCCTTATATGGATCCCTGTAACACCCTGTAGTTTCATGCACTGTTGAAATTACCCTTTTATTCTATCTTCCTGCCTTATTTTAAGCAGGACCCTACCATATCTCGAGCAGTTCTTATTAAAAGTAATTGCTCACCCATCTCAGAAAATCTGAAAAAAGGCTAAGCACTTCCTCATGATTATAAGATGACAGCAAAAACTAACCTCATATTGCCTGCTGTGAGGTTGATGCCAGCAGCTAATGGCTTGGAGATCTCCCCAATTACATTTAGCATATTTTTGTTCAGTGGGTCTAAGTCACTGATTATTTCTGGATTTTTAGTTACTTCCACCACAAGGGCTTCCATTGTTGCACGCAATGCAGTGATACAAGCAGCGGCATTGTGGGGCATCTGCAGTTTGATCCTGAAACACAGAAAGCAGATTAGAAGCTGGATGCACACAACATATTACTTGGCTGAGGCGATTACTTTGAAGGAGGTGGTTCTTCTGAACAGTTAGAATGTTCTCTTCTGAGTAGAACTCACTGCAACCCTAACATGTCCTCCCATTGTATTAGGGAACTGAGTGCTGACCAACAATGTTAAGGGTTTATTAAGACATATCATTACATCCCCCAAGAAAGTGTGGTAACTGTAGCTTTGTATTATGCTGAATACTTTAAATTGGTTTGATAGGCAAAGGAGCCAAATTGTAAAATTTACTTTGCTTCCCAGTGTTCTTGGATTACATTCCCTCAGACCCAATAAATAATTGCTAGGATTTCTTCTCCCTCCCTTGTTAACTTTAATGCATCAACGCTGCAATTAACCTCAACTTTGATTATGTTGGAATCAGAGTACCAATAATCAGAGAGATGCTACTGGTACAGAGGTTCACAAATAAGGGTACAGAACTGCAAGGTTACCTCCAACATCAGCGCATAATGTCTTTTAAGTTTCTTTTTTACAAAGATCATTAAGAAAATACATCTTAATGTATCTTTTAATATATTTATGTTTTCATTATATTTGTATTTTTGTTTTTTGTATAAACCACTGAGTACACATGTTCTAGATGGGCAGTATATAAATCAAACAAACAAATAAATATGTACTTTTATGTAAAATCATTTTCCTGCAAACAGAAAATATTTATTACATTTGTACCTGTGCCACTGTTAGGCGGGGAGAGGAGGGGGCAGGAGCAGAGAAAAGCACAAAATGGCTGCCAGGCTCCCTTGTGGGTGTCAGCTTTTATTTGTTTGCTGCTCTTTTTCCTGCAGTTCGGGGGCTACCAAGGCCTGGTAAGTGACTTTCTTTTATTTATTTTTAAGTTTCTGACCCTTTTCCCCCCTCCAGAAGCCTCTAAGGGGAGGGAAGGGGCACTTTTTTCCTGTTCGTAACTCGAGGGAAGTTCGTATGTCGAGTCCTTATTTCCCTATCGGGCAGGTTCGTAAGTTGAATTGTTCACAAGTAGGGTCGTTCGTAAGTCGAGACCCCACTGTACTGTAATCCAGTACTCTCAACAGCTAACTCTAGCAAAGTGATCCAACAGGATACCATAATCAATGGTATAAAACACTGCTGAAAGGTGCAGGAGAACTAATAAGGTTGCATTCTCCTTATCCAGTCCCAAGCATAAGTGACTAAAGCAGTCCCATACTAGAATGAAAAATAACATAAAGCTCATCAAAGTAACAACAAAACAGTAACAATTAGAAATAAAAGGTTGGTACGGTGAAAGCATGAAACCCAAGTTTCTGAGAAGTCCATCAACTATCTCAGTATTTCTAACAATGATTGAAAGTGTTTTTAAACTAATTCTTTTAACACAAGTACAAGGATAATGCTCCAACAACATTCATTCCTTCTTTATCTAGCACTGTAAGCTATGAATCCAGCTGTTTTCCCCCACAGCCTTCCCCCCACATTTAACAATTACAGTTAGCCAAAAGTTACATACCAGTCATCCAATATTATAATCTCACCATCAGATACAACTTTCTTAGAGCCAAAGAGAAGCAGCTGCAAGGGGCTCACTAAGGTCATTGCTTTGGCAGAAATGGCTCGAGTCCGGATCTGCAGACAGAGAAACATACAGAGGCCTGTGTCCTTGATGCCAACATAGAATCTGGTGCACAGTATGAAATGACAGTAGTGTCCTCATTTTTAAAAGTTTTCAAATATCAGAGAAGATACTGAAGCTATCCCAACTTCTTAAAGGGTTCAGAAATCAGAGGAGTGGAGGAAAAACCTAGGTCTACTAAAAGCAGAGTTCTTTATGTCTAACTTCAACTGATTTCTGCCTGCTCCCTCCCTCCACCCTGCCTCAGCCATCCTAAAACATAAAACATGTTTTCAAATTATATGGGACAAAACCTCAAATAGAGCAACAAAAACTATTCAAACTTCAATTTTAAAAAGTGCAGAAAATTTATTCTAAATCATTTCCATCAGCTCCCATGAGCACAGTAAGTGGGAACGATGATGGAAATTGTTGTTCAAAACACCTAGAAGGCACAAAGCTGTATATAATGCTAATGAAAAATGCTATGTTGATTAAATTGGACCAGAACACACACATCCAGTTTCCCTGTATTTGTAAGGAAAGAAATAATCTAAATGTTAGAACAAGGTAGCAAAGCGTGCAGTTCTCAAACCTTAGTGGAAACATTTCTCAGTTAAACACTCACCACCACACATAGTAGACTCCAAAAGTAACGAAAGACGAGGCAAATTGTAACCCAGGATTTATTCCACACTTGCTTACCTTTTCTCCAAAAACAAAGAATGGGGAAGGGTACTTCATGTCCTGACTGCTGAATGGGCAATTAACAGAAGATTTATGAATGAGTGCATTCCGCCCCTCAGTAGTTAGAATCTTCCTCTTCTCTTTATGGAAACACACATTGGGATACAAGCCAAAAGCCAGGAGAGAGATGACAATATCCAGATTATTATCTGGTCCAGTGTTATTAAATACTTGCGTCATCAGACATTCTGGGAAGAGAACAGAAAGCTTGATTTTTGTTTGCATCTCACAAAACAGTAGAATCAGTATTTACTGCAAATAAATCTCTTTTGTATTTGCAGAATTAGTGTGTGCTTAGAGTTCAAAGCTCACAAAAAAACAGATGAACTGAAAAGACTAAGGCATTTAAACACTATTCAACTATCCTTTTAAAATGCCAATTTCCTGTCCCCCTGCAAGGAGACAGAAGCCAGGGCAGCTGGGAGAGGAGACCTCCCGGAGACTGGAACAACCAATCTAGTAACTGCAGAGCCAAAATTCTTGCCACATACTTGCAAATCCATTATGTATTTGTGGAATTCAGTCCAAAAATGAGATACTAATTGACAGCAATAAATGATGGAAATACTTTCTGGACAGAAAATAAGAGACCTTCCTTGGGCTAAGTTCTAGCACTAATTCTTTTTGCACAGTTTCCACAGACTTTGCATTGTCCTGCCAACAACTGCCATATAAAGTGTACAATTAACAGGGTTTTTTTTGTCTGAAATTTTACAATTGACGAAAACCAATCCTATCAAATGAAATTTGTTGTAAGCCTGCAAGTGCTATGTATACATTTAACAAAGCTCTTTCCCACTCTCCAGCCCCCAAAACATGAAAAAGCCACCTCCAGCCTGCTCACTGCCAAAAGCTATATTTTTATTTTACTGCGTTTTCACCTTCTGGGAATCCAGAGTTAATAAGAATATCTTTCAGCTGGACTTTGGCTTCCCAAGTCATTCTAAGTGTTGCCATGTTCAGTCTCTTGTTCTCACAGAAACGTATTTCTGCGTTTTCTCCACCGATCCTGCCAAAAGAAACAAGGTGAATGTGTAAGCTAACTGTAGAGACACTTCGCAGGGCAAGTGTCAATTTAATGCTTTGTAGGTAACACAGCTTTTCCTCACCTATGTTACTCTAAGCCAATTTACCTTGCATGGTCCCAAGCTTGGAACACAGAAAGCAGGGCCACATGATCAGAAAACCGGTTTCCAGCAAAATTCCTATGGACATAGCCCAGCCTTTTCCCCTCACTGATGAATGGCTCAGGGAAGCAGGTGGCTGCAGAGATGGTACATACCGCATCTCCCACACTGAAACAGAAAACACAGAACATTCTCGTCTCACGGTCTTTGCTACCAGCAGGTGCTTCAATAAAACTTGATATATCTGTTATTAGCAAAACTGTGCAGAATTCACTTGTATTAGGCGGCAGGGAGGGCACAGATGGCAGTGGGAATTATTTCCATAAATTCTGGACACAAACATGAAACACTTCTGCATTTGAAATCTTTACACACAATAATTAGATTCATGTCTTTCAAAATTCATTAACATCAGTAACAGCCCATATCTTCCAAATTAGAACCCAACTGCAATTAGTGCCTCCCCACATCTTTATTCACACATCTTTGTAAAGGTACTAAATGCCACTTACTAGAAAATACAACCCATTATCATCATCTTCCCAAGGCGAGGTTCAATTGGGAGCCTAGCTAAAATTCGTCCAAGGGGTGTGAGTTCATCATTAGAGTCCAAGGCATCAAGCTCTTTTAAAAAAAAGTGGAAGGGAATGTGTCAGTAAAACTCATTAGTAACCAATGTAATTTAATCTTGCAAGTGGTGAAGCATAAAACCATAAAGATGGAAAGAAAATGAAACACAGTTGCTGTCCTGTCCTGCTTGGAAATTCTCACTAAAGCAGCAGCTGAGTGGGCTGAAGTCCAAAAGGGAAGACTTGCCTGGCTGTCGTGGCTTGAGGATTGCAGGTATAATAGAAAATACTGCCATAGAATCCAACTCTCTTTCATTTCATCTAGAATATACTGGATTTCTCAAGTTCTTTTGTTAACTACTGTCTGCATTTAACCATTACATGTTTCTTGGTTTAAAAAAAGTAATACTGTATAGCACCTTTTTTAATGGAAAAACTAACCCAGACATCACCAAAAACCATTTGCTATTACGGTGAATAATTGTGGAAGAGCTGCAGGCTCAAAAAATAAAATAACCAAGACAACCAATAACCTCTTTAAAGACCCACATATTTGAGGGGGAAAGGTGACTGCTTATGAAGTAGTGTATATGGAGGTATTGGTTTACAACAGGAAAATTCAATTAACATCAATTAAGAGTGATTACTGATCAGTATCTGATAGCAAGCTAAAAGTGAGGAAAATTCTGGTGCATAATTTTCAGAAGACAAATTAACTGAATAAGATTTTCAGTACTAACATATAAAAATGCATTTTTCCCTACACATGATTTAGAGATTATGCAGTTCCATACTTTGTTCAGTGATCCCTTCCTCCAAATTATTTCAAAATGTGGTTCTTTTCCAATCCACTGCAGCCTCCGTGGGCTCTGATTAGGCAAAAAATGTGAAATCTATACCTATTATAGCAATATTACACATTTTGTCCTTTTAAAATATCATCTACATTTATTCCAAACTCTTATTTCATTTAATCCTCCCACATGGCACCGATCACCCCACTTTTAAACCAAAGGCCTGAAAACTAGGCCTTGTTCCCATGAACAATAGTGAAGAACGGAAGCTTGGGTTTTTTCTTTTTTTTTACATGGGAAATGGGAAGAATACCCATTTCCTGAACTCCCATCTGGCTATTCTGTTCAGACTTGCCAATGTTTTCAGAGGCAGTCCCATGGGTACATGCATGGTGGAAACCAACTTGTGAACAACTGTGGAAAAATCAGACATTGTCTTCATGTGCACACATTACATGTGAATGACAGGAAGTACAAAACACAAGAGATTAAAAACAAGGACCACTGTCCTTGTCTACTCCAGCCGATGGAAAGAGTCAGGTAAGGACCTCGGAGAGTGTGCTCAGCTTCGATAACTGCGTCCAGAGGCGGCGGCTCTATAGCTTTGGCCAAGAACTGGCCAATTCCACCCAGTCGCAGCAGTTTGATGCTCAGAGCGATTTCATGCAGGGGCGTTCGGAACATCTCAGGGGTCATATGAGTCTCAAGCCTGGAGGCAGAAGGGAAGATGAACAAGTGTCAGGCACTTCATCCCCATAGCTAGCTCTTGTCCTTTCCTGCCAACAATGCTCTCCATGTCCCTCCTACACACAGAAGTGCTAGTCGTTTGGAAAATCTCCTCAGCCCACTCCCTGCTCTCCCCTTTTCATGCTGCATTTTTTTGCTGCTTCAGGACAGTCTCTCTTTCCCAGCTCATTTTCCGAATCAGAGCCAGGCTGCAAGTGGCGGGCAGGAGATGTCCTAAAGCAGGGGAGTACTGAGGAACAAGGTGGCAGACAGAAGACGTCTTTAGAATTAACAGTTAATCCAATTACCTTCTTTTAAAGCAAAACCTCAGCAAACTTACCTTGTATGTACAGAAAGCTATTCTGGCCTTTCATGAGAGTAGAAATGATCCAAGCACTTGTAGACACTTGCCCAATAGTAAAAGCAAAGAGCACAAGTTTGTTTCATTCCAACTTTTACAAATTCTAAGAGGCTACAGCAGAGAATGATGTAATATGAAGCAGGGCCATTCCAGCAGTGCAACTGAAGGACCAGCCCTGCTTCCCATCTTTTTTACACCGTGAGACTGCAGCAAAGGACTGTCTTCTCAAATTTATCTTACTCAAGCCACTTCAAGAACCTTTTTGGGCTGGGAAGTGGGATAAAACCAAATGCTGAATAATATAGCTACATGATAGAACTGCACAATGGAAATCAATGCAGACTTACAGCCATGGGCTCATTTCTCTGTGTCTACCCTATTCCTAATACCTAATTCCTGTGTGTTCAGGTTATTTGGTTAATCCAGTTGAGTTTACCTGTTCATTCAAATGCTCTAGAGCAGCCATTCTCAACCTCTTTCTGGCCATGGCCATAAAGACAATATGAACAAAGTACAGGCTGAATCAGGATTCTGTAAGTCATATAATGAACCTATAAGGTGGCATGTGAAGAACTGTTTCTAGTCTGTGCCCATCTGCCGGGGAGGGGGCATATGGCTCCCACTGAGAATGGCTGCTCTAGAGCGCAGTCAGCTGCCTACCTCTCATAGCGAGCTCTGCTGCAGAGATGGAAGCAGAACCCTGGCCGGACACGGCCGGCTCGTCCCTTCCGCTGCTCCAGATTGGTTTTTGAGGCCCACACGGTGGCATAGTTGGTCATGTTGTTGTGAGCAGTGAACAGCTTCACTTTCTGTCTGCAAAGTTGGGGAAATGGCATTTTAAACAACAAGTTCTGAAATACTAGAAGAAAACTGTTTTGCAGAATAAGATGAGGTTCTTCAAATCTTTAGGCAATTAGTAGAAGGCTGGATCTCACTATTTCTGAGCCCATGTTTTATGGATCTGCTGACTTTTACCACACAAACACACAATGTTTGGGAGAACAGTATGGCTTGTGATGCATTAACGAAAAGAAACAGTTCGAGGTCAACCCATGGGACACAGTGGCCACAACAGCAGTACTCAGTGAATAACAGTGGAATCCAATAGAAGTTCTGGTGCTTACTCTTTCCCTCCACTGCAGCCTATCCTGGGGTACCATGAGAACCAATCCAGAAGGCTCTGAATTTTCCTTTAATTCAGGCTCAAATTACATGTGACCTTTAGAAAAGACTCAGCTCAGCCACTCTGGGTGTAATTTCCCACACAGATTTTGACCTCAACCCAAATCAAATAACTCCAGCTGACAAAGACACTATTCTGCTCAGTATCATTGCTTACAAAGCACTACTCTGGTATTCAAACTGATTTACCTGCCTTGTTGTGCCACTCTTTTATTGTTTTCATGTTGTTGCATTTTGTATTACATTCCTAATTTCATGTAGAAAATGGCTTTGCCAGTTCCGCTTGTCTTAAATAAATACAAGTTAAGTGTCATACAGAGGATGAGCAGAGAGATGCCTTCACCTGGTATCACTACATGATAACCCAGGAAATGTTTATCAAGACGGTAGACTCTGTATATTAGCCAGCTGGCTCAAAACTTTGAAGCTCAAAATGGCTCTCTCAACTTAATACATAATCTTCTGGCAAACAGGGAACACTGCATGATAATACAATACCAACTCTGCAGATGTAGGAAACAGAAAAATCAAGAACTCACTTGCAAGAATCGATAACATAGACAACATCATTGATGGTAATGCTGGTCTCTGCAATGTTGGTAGATAAAATTACCTAGAAGTTCAAATACAAAACTGTTTTGAATACAAGGCTGTGGAAGAGACCTTGTCCACACATGAATCCCCAGATTATCCCAGACTACTCCTCATCCCTCTTTGGAACACATGAGGAAAGCTCACCTTGGTCATTCCAGGAGACACTGGGTCAAATACTTTGCGCTGCTCCTCCCGAGGAATCTGGGAATGCAGAGGAAGAATTCGGTACCGCTGGCTTCCTACAGTAAGAGCACACAGAAGGGTACATTGTAAAAGCCCAAACAAGTGCACACCCCAACCCGAAACTAGTTGCAGTTATGGACTCCTTCCATACAAGGGAAGCTCTTTGATCTTTACAAACACTTCAGAAAAGGGGAGAAATACAGGAAGAAAAGATAAACTTGTCTGTACCAAAGTGTGGATTCATTTCCAGGTATTTCTGCATGGTGTATATCAGATTCCAGCCAGGTAAGAAGACAAGAACTGCTCCTGGAACATTCAAGGTCTCAATATACTTCAACAGGGCCTCAATGAGCTCAAAGGGGGTTTCCTTCTCATTCAGCTGGGCCATACGGTGTCTTGTTTCTGGGCTATATTCACTGCTACAGGTAAGGTTGCAATTGGCCTACACAAGAAAAAAATGGCCCATGAGAATCTCCTCCTCTTGTTGAAACAGTATTTTTGTACAATCTCCTGGCAGAATTATAACTTCTTCAGAGACACAAGAAACAAGTCCAAATAGGAGGAATGAAAATTAGGTTTTCATCTAAATCTCATTCATTTTGAACATTTACATCCTCCTTCAATACCCAAGGCAGATTACACAAAATCATAAAACACTAGTACAATAAATGCATGAACAAATTAAAAAAAAAAGAGCACTCCTGCCAAATATGTAAGAAAGAGGCAAAGAGGCAACCGCAGCTGGCAGGTGTCTTTCAAATACCTGAGCTTCACTATAAACGAAAGTCAACACAATGTAACATTTTTACTACTAAATACTGGGTTGTAAAATCTAAAAAACTACAGCTTCTGATGGACTTTGTTGTAAAATTTTAACATGGAAGAAGGATTTATTTGTGCCCATCATAAAGAAAAAAAATCAGTCAAGACTTAGAAGAGCATACATGTAGAAATTTGAAAACGCTGCAAAAACCATAAAACAAAACCACATACTATTACAAAGAAAGTGTATCTATTCTACACTACCAGTAGGGACGTGGTGGTGCTGCGGATTAAACCGCAAAAGCCTTTGTGCTGCGAAGTCAGAAGACCAGCAGTCGTAAGATCGAATCCATGCGACGGAGTCAGCTCCCGTCGCTTGTCCCAGTTCCTGCCAGCCTAGCAGTTCGAAAGCATGTAAAAATGCGAGTAGGGAAGGTAACAGCGTTCCGTGTCTAGTCGCACTGGCCACATGACCACAGAAATTGTCTTCGGACAAATGCTGGCTCTACAGCTTGGAAACAGGGATGAGCACCACCCCCTAGAGTCAAACACGGCTGGACTAAATGTCAAGGGGAACCTTTACCTTACCAGTAATTGCCTGATTCATACAAGTGCTAAAATTTTATACATGGAGGGAGAAAAAACCCTTGTCCACATACATCATCATCTTCACCACCTTCTTCATCCTTATCTTTCTTCTTTTTGTCCTTTGGTGGAGGAACAAATTTAGTCATCTGAATGCAATCTTCTAGAAAATACTCTAAAACAAGAGAACATTTAGGTTACAATGTGTATTAAGATAGCTTCTAACTGCTTAAAACGAATCTCCACCAGGAGTACCTGCTGGATCCTGCAGATATGGACTCTTTCCTCTCATAATTAACGCAACAATTTACAAAAATCGTACAATCAGTAACCCATTATGCCCAAATTGACGGAGCTTTTTTCTTCACGTAACAGGAAAAATCAAACAGAGGTTTTCTATGCTTAGTCTCTTGTATTGTTCTGTTTCTAGTACATGTATAAACTTTCTAGTCTTGTTGTTTCCATTTAGAAGTACAATTATATCAGCTCTACATTTTATGTTAGAGTTTAATACTGTAAGACTTAATGTCTATAGTCCCCTCAACTCTGCCCAAAACGAAGAGGAACTGCTTTTCTAATAGTCCTGTGGGCAATCAATCACCTTGCACTTGGTATGTCCTGCCAAAAACCTCAATGATGGGACAATTAAAGAAGTATTCACAGAACATGCTGGTATCAATGGTAGCAGACATGAGGATGACTCGGATTTCAGGGTACGCCTGAACTACATCGCGCAGAACCACCAACAGGAAGTCGGTCTGTAGAAAGAAAACAGTAACTATCTGAACCTGGAAATTCACAAGAGTAAAAAACATATTTACAGTTTCAAGAGAGGTAGCCATATTAATCTACTGAAGCAAATATAGCAAAAGAAAAAAAAATAAAATAAAAGCAAAATCCTTGTAGCACCTTGAAGACAAAAGGATTATTTCAGTGTGGTCTTTCATGGATTACAATCCACCTCCTCAGAGGCATTTTGTGTGTGTGCCATCCAGACAATTCTGACATACAGCGACCCTTGTCAGGGTTCTACAGGTACAGAATGCTCGGAAATGGCTTCCCGTCTTCTGGGGGCATTTCTGGGGCTGCGCAGCTGGCCCAAGGCCACACAGGCTGGCTCTCCTTCCAGGAGGCACAGTGGGGACTCAAGCTCTTAACCGCTGGCTCTGCAACCAGGTACCTCACTCCCTCCTCAGAGGCATGCAGCACAATGATTAGGTTACAGGTTTACATAGTCTCTGAGCATATAAACCTGTGATCTAACTATTGTACACCGTATGTCTGAGGAAGGAAAAGGCTCAACTTGAAATAAATCTATTACTCTTTAAGGTTCTATAACACTTTTGCTCTTAATTCTGTTTGTTTTTATTATACAACAAGTTTGTGGAGGCTATGAACCTCAAAATATATTGCATATTATTAGAGGTAAGCAGATTTATCTTTCAGACCACAACTCCCAGAATTCCCAGCTCTATTCAAAAAACGCAAAACCATGCACCTCTATGTATTAGTCTTCAGTTACTCTCCCAAAAGAAAAGTAGCTGAGCTACTTTCCCAGGTATTTCCAAGTGCATCTTTTAGGTTTGCTCGATATTAAAGAAAACATTGATTACTTTGTTCATTTTCTGTGCATGGTTTATACAAAGAGATACTATGTTTACTTCATATTTTCTAGTGCCAGTAGAAATGAACAAGAAAACTTCCCAAACTAATGAGACAACCTGCTTCTTATGCAAGACAAATGCAAGTATGCCTAAGTCCCATATGGGGAGAACATATCAAAACTGCAGGAGAATCATTTCTTGCCTTTAACACAACACAACAAGAGGAAACCCTACAAAATATCCAGAAGAGCATCAAGCAGGAAACAAACTCTGCTTGGATAGTGGGCAGAAGTAACTTACATTAATGTCTCTCTCGTGAATTTCATCCACAATAACATGACTGATGCCACGGATCCCAGCTTCCAGTTTTCTCAGAAGGACACCTTAAAGAAAAGTCAATGTCAAGGAAGAGGACTGGGAATTCCCACCCCATACACCAGGGCACAAACCCTTATGATTTTTTTGGCATTAAAACATAACTGGTCTATTATCATCCACCGATTTTAATGCATAGTTTTTAGTGAGATTTGGGCATGGGAGACATCTGTTATTTTAATTTTTTTAAATCCCATTTTTTTCTGTATTTTGTGCACTACTATTTTTGTTGCTGCACACAGCTTGAGAAATTCCTGGTTGCCATTTTAGAAATACTACATACACTAACTGTTTTGCACTGCCCTATAATACTCTCTCTCTCTCTCTCTCTCTCTCTCTCTCTCTCTCTCTCTCTCTCTCTCTCTCTCTCTCTCTCTCTCTCTCTCTCTCTCTCTCTCTCTCTCTCTCTCTCTCTCTCTCTCTCTCTCTCTCTCTCTCTCTCTCTCTCTCTCTCTCTCTCTCTCTCTCTCTCTCACACACACACACACACACACACACAGAGAGAGAGAGAGAGAGAGAGAGAATAATGTAGTGCAGTCTATTACGCTGGCTTTCATCCTTTCAATACGAGAGAAAAACAGAGAAATCCTACAGTGCCTTTTAACAGCCACTATTGATCTCACCCCTCTTGTAAGCCTACCCAAACAACAACCACAACAACCACTTCTCATTTTCAATCCATGGTAACACTTGCAGGTAGGGGCCATGCAGAGCAAGTTTCCAGTATTCATTTTCCCCCATGTTCCCTATGATAACGTCATTGGAAGAAGAGTTTCTCTTGCCACTCCAGGTTTTCTACACTGCCCATCCTCGTCTATGGATTAGTAACCAGAAACCAGCACACACCTACAGTGCAGAACATCACACTGGCATGCGGCCGAGGAAGCACCGATTCAAAGCGGACACTGTAACCGCAGCTGTTCCCAGGTTCTTCACCTCTCTCATAGGCAACACGTTCTGCCACAGAAACAGCACTGATCCTCCTGGGCTATGTGTAGAAAGGAAAACTGGTTATAACCCACATGTGGAAAGTCACAACAACTCCATGGAAGAAAATTACAGAATTGCAACAAAAACAAAAATGATTTATATTATTTTTCCCACCCCTGTGCAGGGACAGTGTCTAAAAAGTCATGCTGGCTTGTCACAACACAGAACCCCCCAAACCCTAAAGTTTACTACTACTGTATTTACAATTATTATTTTATTTATTCAAAATGTGCATACCCCAACTTTCTCCTCAAGAGGAACCAAGGCAACTGACAATATTTTTAAAAACAATATTAAAAGCTAAAAAACCCCAATAAATTAGTTACAGAACTACAAAAGAATTATACAAATGTCGAAACAACTACTATGAGACCGAAAACCTTCCTGTCAACTCCCTTTTAGTCACACCTCCTCCACCCACCCCCAAATCATCTGCATTCTACTCTGTCCCATCCTCCCTTAACTGAAAATAAAGGATAAGACTCAATGAAGTACATCTACTGATGGAACTGGGTCCGTCAACAGAATCAACAGAGGGGAGGGATATCACCTCTCTTCACTGCAGCTCCCCTTGTACCCCACTGATTTATTCTTTTCAGCAGCAATGAGACTGAAAAGGAGAATAGAAAGTTCCATTACACTGGCATAGCGGCACCAGTGCAATATTGAATTTAGACCAACATGTCAACTCTTTACATCTGCATTCTATCAAAATGCTGGTTCTAAGCTATAAAGCCCTAAATGGCATGGGTCCAAGCTATCTCAAAGACCGTGTCTCCCATTATGAGCCGGCTCAGGTGTTAAGATCATGAGGCGAGGCATTTCTCTCAGTCCCACCACCTTCACAGGTGCGTCTGATAGGAACAAAGGAGAAGGCCTTCTCTGTTGCTGCTCCCAGACTTTGGAACTCCCTCCCACAGGAGGCCAGACTGACCCTATCTCTGCTCTCCTTCGGCAAGCAGGCAAAGACATTTCTCTTTAGGCAAGACTTCCCTCAGTAACCAGCTACCTGTGTGTAATTTTCAGATAGGCTGCTATGCAGTACTGCTTTGGCTGGATTTTTAGTACCACTTGTGTTTTCCATTTTTGTGTTTTCCATTTCTCAGAGTGGCATTTTAAAAAAATGTATACTTATTCTTCTTTGCCTTAATATTGCCTGTTAATGATATAAGATGCCTCCTTATTCATAGTTTTAAATATTGTCTTTTAATGATAACCACTGTTGTATATTCCCTTTCAACTTTAAATACTGTATTTCATTGTTGCAAGTCACCTTGGGTCCTTTTCAAGGAGAAAGATGGGGTAGAAATATTTTAAATAAATAAATAAATAAATATTGCCTTACTGAAAGACATAAACATGAAAAGGGAGGACTGGAGGATTCAGCCAGTGCAGAGTCAGTTGATAAACCAAGAGCTACTACTGTATGGAAAGCTATCCTCCACCCAAAAATGTTAGCCACTGTATTATCTAAGTTACTCGGATTACTTCTGCCCATGTTCATGGATAACCAAATAATTAATATCACAGACACCCTGGAACATCGTATATGATATCTGCAATAAAACAAAAAGTATGTTAAGGTTCAATTAACTGCTAGATCTAGTGACAATTCTGATAAAATACTCCTGCCAAATATGAATCAGCCACAAATACAACACTGTATTGGCTCTTTACCTGAGTCACAACAATGCTACATTCAGCAGCTCTTCCACTGTGGATGTATTCATCCAGGATGTATTGTGGAACTTGTGTGGTTTTCCCACAACCTGTGGCTCCACGGATGATGACGACTGAATTTTGGTGGATGGCTTGCATAATTTCTTGTTCAAACTTCTTCACAGGCAGAGTGTCCCTCTCTTGAAGAATCTAGGACAGAAAGTGCTTACCTTAAAAATGTCAATATTTATCTGGCACCTGGCAGTTCCTAGCTGAATCCATTTAAACAGCACATATCTCACTGTGCAGCTCCCATTGTCTCCAACTTCTGCAGCTGTTGGAGGTTTGGCAGAAGGCAAGGAAATCTACAGCTACCCTTTGGGCTCCTTTTTCACTGTCATGTAACACACCTACATTCCACACACTTTTGTGTATGTGTGAATGTGCACAAGCACACATATATACTGATGAGTAAGCTTCAGGTACATGCTAACATCGACATCTTCCAATACGAGTAGAGGACTCTGTCTAGAGAAAAAAGCGCCTACGGCCAATCCCAGCTAAGTGTATCTCTACAGACTATGCCTCACAATGACTGAAACAAACAATATCCAGTATGATCACTGGAGTGACAAATTGACAAAAAGAAAGAAATACATGAAGGTCAATCATCTTGTCAGTTCAACTTGTTTGCAACCCACTTCTGGGTGGTGTGGCTCTCCAGTCCAGACTTAACCAGATCTACAGATGTTCTGCAATTCCTTATTTGGTATACTAATAACCACTATAACATACAGTCAATGTTTTCAATCCTTGTCATAGCAAATATTTCTAACCATTTAGGACTGTTCATAAAGTGAAATGTCAGCAGATCTACCTTCTGCAGCTCCTGATCATTTTCCAGTTGATAAAGAAGATTGCTTTTTAGGTCCATGCTAATCTGCTCTGGCGTGGCCTTGAAAAAGAACACAGGAAATGAAAAAAAAAAAACAATTTTGTGTTTAAATTGCTCTAGCTGACACCAACTAAATGGACAGTTAATGCTGCTCAAAAAGCTTTGGTATAATGAGAAAGGCTACAGCAGGAATCTTAAGACAATTTAAGAGAATGAGTAATTAGTAGACTTACATAGGCCAAAGGGCCCTCATCGATATTGCAACTAGTCCACGGATTCCAGTTTGACTGTGGGGGTGACCATGGCACAACACCCATTTGATTTTGCCTTTGAGAGGGCTCAAAATGGGCCAACTTTCCTATGTTGAGCGTCACAGGGACACTGGGGTCTTCAGGCTGCATCAGGAAAATAAGAAGCTGCTGTATGAAAACTGGTAGAAACCCAATGAGCTAGGAAAGAAAACATCTCCTGACTACACCCACCGGTGGAGTGATTTCAAGCTGCATCTCCTCTACAATGCTTTGTAGTTGACCTTCCAAATGAGAACTGATGTTGACCTCATAAGGCTCCACCTGTGGCATTAGGATGGGAAAATTCAAAATGATTACATAAGGGGCTCAGCCAAAGAAACTACCTTTATAAATTTATATGGGAAGTAATCAATTTCTTGAGAAATAACCCTTCACTTAAAGCATACAGAGGAAAGAAGGTACATTAAAATATTCTAATACTGTATTTTCTATTTTTTTTAAAAACCCACATAACATATTTAACAATCTCATATACCACAAAGCCTAGTTTATATGCACCCACACCCAAAAATGATTTCTCAAGTAATTAAAAAAAAATACAAAAAACACAGAAATATTTTAAAAACTGCCAAAGCCTGTTGGACCAGCTGAAGTTTCCAAACGCTACTAAAAGGTACTGTCACAAAGAGTATATCACAGTAAACCAGATCACAAGGAATGAAAGCAATTGGTACACTAATTTCAGCTGTGCAAAGGCACCCCTGGATGTCAACAAAATCTGGTCACCTTGTTCAGGACTGAATTTAAGATAAATCCAACCTGTGAACTATGTAAGTGCTGTATGATCTTACCCTCAAGTTTAATCTCTAGTCTCTGATCTACTGTTTGACTGATCAAAAGCATCTTTGTCTAGAATTATGGTTTCAAACCTTGAGTCCCCAGAGGTTCTTAAACTACAACTCCCAGAAATCTTGGCCAGCACAATTAGCAGTGAAGACTTCTGGGAGTTTTAGTCCAAGAACACCTGGGGACCACCGCTCTCGATGAAATTCTGGTTTTGTCTATCCTCATCCAGGCCATTACTGATATCAGACACTTGTTTAGAAGACAAATCTTTGGATTCAGATCAACAGCTGAGAAGCTCTTTCCATCTAGGAGCTAAAAGGAATTTCGTAAAAATTCTCAGCAGCCACAGTGGTGGTGGTGGTGGTGGGATGCCAAGATTAATGCACTTCCTGGTACTATTTAAGGCTTGGGAGAAGTATTTCAATCTTTTAGATGAGGAAAACCTCACAGGAAAGCTGGGAATCCACTAAAACATCACACCATGAGGAGGAAGAGGTTGCCCTTTGGGGCCCAGAAACTCAGCTAGAAGGCCTGGGATTCCCCACCCCCGGCCCACAATTCAGCCAGACTGAAATGGATCTAAACCATCTCTCTTTTCCACAAACATCATTTGGAAATTAGTCAGAAATCATCCACTACAATGGGATCCAAGGTGGTTATAGGAGAGTTCTGAACACCATCTTTACGCCACATAACAGAAATAATGATTTGATGCAAAGAGATGTTCACATCTACAGTTACCAAGTCTGCTATTCCACCTGGCTATTTTTATGAAGCAGGAAGGGAGAGAGCCCAGGGCACAAGCGGTAGATCTCATCTCTCTTTATCAAAATTCCTTTCCACATCCTCAGGCTGCGCAAACTTTAAAGGATCCATTATAAATGGATAAACAGGACCAAAGCTACACCCATGGCACCTGCATTAACTACAGCACCAAGTCAGAATGGATCAGAGCGTTCTTATCCAGCAAGTGCCAGCTCCAACACTGGAGGCTGTGCTGGCCACAATACAAGACGGTCTCCATTTTCTTCTCACAGACCAATGAATAACAGGTCTCTTGACCACAGACAAGAAACAACATGATATCACTCTGCCATCGCTACCACAGGAACATGCCTCTATTCAGTCAAATGGGCTCTAACTTCTCTGGAAACACTGCTCTAGTCACTCTCCTTCTAGTACATCAACCCAGTTCCATGGAAAAACAGGCGATCTTGTTTGGTTTTAGTAAGCAGGAGAGAACACTCAGGAACATTTAGGTTAACTCCTGAATCTTTTCTGTATTTCAGAGGTCAAACAGGACTCTGAAACAGCTGTCAAGGTGACAAGAAAATCCACAATAGTGGTTAAAAAACGTTCTTAAGTTGCTTGCAGCAGCATCCTAAACCATTCCTTTATCCCACAAAGCAAGGGTTCCCAACCCCCGGTCCGTGGCCTGGGCTGGACCGAGCTGTAGAGACAGATCTCCCGCCCTCCATCACACACTTCTGCCCCACTCACAGCCCCTCCGCGCATATGAGCGAGCACCCCCGTTGTGAATGCGCAAGAGTGCCCCATAGCATCTCCCACCCTTTGCGCATGTGCATGCAAGCACCCCCACTCCTCTGCACATGTGTGCATGCACGTGCGAGCCCACTTATGCGCACAAGTGCAGGGGGGTGCCTTGCCTTCCCCAACTGGTCCGTGGAGTTAAAAAGGTTGGGGACCTCTGCCACAGAAGAATTAAATTGGGAAGTATAAATACAGTGGTGCCTCGCTTAGCACTGGGAAGTATAAATACTTCTAGATACTAAGAAAACAAGATTTAACGAATGATACATTTAGAATACTGCCAAAATGAAGTACTCTCACTAAAACGTGAGCATGCTTACTGTTTTGATACTGCACCTCAACTCTCTTACCACTACAATGCAGCCTCCAACGTATGGCGGCGGCCATTTTGGAGCCGCCGAACAGCTGTTCGGCGGCTCCAAAATGGCCACCGGAAGCCCGGAAATGGCCGCCGGCAGCCGTTTTCACACCCTGCCCTCACTTAGCGAGGGCGCGAAAATGGCTGCCGGCAAGGGGAAACCTCGCTGAACGGGTAAGCAAGGTATTGGAACGCATTAAACTAAGTTTAATGCGTTTCAATACCTTTTCCCTATCCGTTTAGCGACGATTCCGCATAGCGAGGGTTAATCCGGAACGGATTAACCTCGCTATGCAGGGCACCACTGTACTTCTAGATACTACAAAAACAAGATTTAACAAATGATACATTTAGAATACTGCCAAAATGAAGTACTCTCACTAAAACGTGAGCATGCTTACTGTTTTGATACTGCACCTCAACTCTCTTACCACTACAATGCAGCCTCCAACTGGTTTATTTTCTTCCTGAATTATGGCTTCCTTCCATGTTCACTAGAGACTGTGTTTGTTTGTTTAGTTGTTTTTTTGTTTTGCATTTGTCAGTGTCCCCAGGACTGTTTCACCATCATAGAATTGCCACCCCGTGGTTCTCTGGCGCCTGAACAATATATAGCCACAGAAACATATAAAAGGAACTAACACTCCAACAAACAGGGAAGAAAACCATATTCTAAGATGTAACAACATGAACTGAAGACTTCCTTATACAATTAAGGCAATGATTAAGCAAAAAAAATAAATAAGATCAATTCAGTGCTGAATTGCCACTGTGCAGTCAGGAAAGTGTTGAGGACCTACACCACAGGTTTTGGGTAGAGGACTACTCCTCTGATTTAACTAATATTTTGGGACAGGGGTCCACTGAGGCTCTATGTTGTTTATCTCTGCTCTAATCCAACTATACAAATATCAATCGCTTTTCCAGAACAGCACAGCAATACTTTGGTTATTAGGGCTGTATGATCTTGGAAGGAGAAGACTTTGCATCAGGAACCCACGCTTGCCAGTTGCTGAAACATATAAACAAGAAGCAATTATAGGACATTTTTCATTGAACCCACCGATTCACCTTCTTTCTTCTTGGTTTGCCCAGAATAAGCCTCAATGACGCCCAAATGATAAAGCTGCCTGACTAGAGACAAGGCACAAGATTGTGCTGCCAGCTTTTTATTTGAGCCATGCTCACGAGCAAAGATTCCTGAAACACAAAAGTAATAAATGTGTGTGACAGCTGTCAAAGAAGTCATCTCTGGTTCTCATTTCATAGAAAGGAAAAGCTGAAGAACAGAAGCAGAATGATCAACTGCCTGAAAATCTCCAGTGCAAGCTTTGAAGATTAGCAGGGCAGAAATCCCATCTGTTTTTGTCTTTAATTACTGTCAAGGAACATATGCCAAGAAACAACTGTCAAGGGTACTTCAAGCAAGACATGCTTACACAACAAACAACTTTATTTGTGGGGTACCATCTCTAGATTTTCATTTAGTCAGTTAGCAGACTTGTTTATTCAATCTGTACAAATCTGCCTGTAACTTACTGGCATCATCACATTCAGAGAGAATGGCTTTGCACGACAGCCTCATTACTAGTACCACTCTACTGGTAGAACATCTTTTTTTCAATTGACAGAAGACAGGACCCCTTCCAGCTCTGCTTCAAATAGGCAATAACAACTTTCACGTAAGATGTTTTGCTACACTATCGTTATGTATGGCTGCATAGTTTTCTACTGAATAGTCTCCCCCTCCTTTCTTCAATGTGACATTTCCAAATTTTTATTGTACAGTGAATACCCACCACACGAAAAGTACAAGTTTACAACTTGGATAAATAACTAGATGGTCAAAGACTGGACAGACCTGATAATACAACTCTAGCAAAACTAGAGACTTAGCATGTTTTCTTCATTTTCATTTGGTCCTCAAGCTTAGATTCTTAGACTGTGTATTGGCAGGAAGGAAATGGCCAACTGAAGTAAGTTTTCGAGGCCTCTAGATATGGACATAGACGTATGTATAAGTAACAGTTAGGCTTCTAGTCTAGAAAACCAGGACAAAGCACCTTGCATGTTCCAGATGTTTTAAAAACATTCCAGCTCGGATATTCTGCATAATGTTCATTTCCCGCAAAATAAAACAACTTACTTCTGGCAAGCTGCTTGACATAAATGGTCATTTCTGCAATAAAGCTCCTGCAACACATTTAGAAAAAAAGTATCACTTTCATTTTTGTAAAGAAACAAACTATGTATCTTCCACACAACTGGGCCTTCCATCAAAATTCAAACATTCACACTTCCCATGAAGACCTAAAAACCCAAGCTTTAAAACTGGTTCTACTCTGAAGCTGTTGGAAAAAGAGCCACCTTTTCTTAAGCGTATATGATTTTACAATGCCTTAAAGGCAAAATATTCTCTCACTAATCTGGGCTCCATCATTTTACAAAGAATGGATACGAAGTAGGGCTGAGGAACAAATTTCTTGAATGAATATATAGGGTAAAAAGAATAATCTGGCAATAAAAATTAAATCGAGATTCAGAACTTTACAGGATTACTTTGCAAAGTAGCAGCACACTTTAAGGAACCCAAATCCCAAAGGGAACCATATTACAAATACCTTATGTAGCATATTGCATACCTCAGTCTTACAACATCTGCTCAAGCAGTTTTCTGCCCCAACCAGAGACTAAGTATGACTACACTGGGCAAGATGGGTAATATACACACCTCTCTTTCAATAAAACGCAGCAGGTCTGTGAACAACATATCCCAGAAAAATATTCCTAAATTTGGGACAAGGTTCCAATACAATGATATTCAAAGACAGGTCTAAGTGGCTCTTGTTTCAAATTGTTCGGGGATTTGAGCAGAGTTAATTAACAAGGCAATTAGTTATCCCACATACTGTGGAAATTACTAAAGTGACTCTAAGGAAGAAGGGTGTAGCATATCTATTTCACAATGTAGGCTGCTAACAACGAAGAGATTAAGACCAAACCCGGTATGGAGGTCTATGGGCATGGAGACTTTTGGAGGTCTGTGGACATGGAGACAGAAGTCATGCATAGGGACCAGATGTTAATTATTTCTAATGCAATGTTCCTAAACACCTTGGGAGGCGTTATGAATGGCATTCTAACGCCATCCAAAGTGCCTCTTTAGATTTAAGAGCAAAAGGTTCTCCTCTAAGCTAGGTTTCTTATATTCCTACAACACTGCAGAAAGAACCTGTTACAAGAACCTGTTAACAAAGGCTGCAAACAAAGAAATGTCAGGTGATGATAAGAAAGTAACCTCAGGCCTCTTCCTAAACTGCCCGTGAACTGACCTTCAGGCACAGCGGCTTCATGAGTCAAAAGGCCACTGGCTCTCAGGGACACAACAGCCACCCTTTCATTAATGACACCGATGCCAGTATGTTTCTCAGCCAGGCTTATATTCAGCACTCAATTCATTCTCCTCCACCTGGGGGGGAACAGCGACACCAGAAATCAGTTTACAATAGATTCCCATGTGATTGCTTAGTACAGCCTAAGCAGCAGCACATGTGTGAATGAGCAAAAATCTCTGGTGTCGCAGTTGGCCACCCCTTTTGGTGTGGAATTTAAACAGCATTGTTGCAATGGAGCCACTCTCCCATCCCACCACTGGACAAGAGCACCCAGCTTGCGCACCAGGAAAAGATCGTCTTCAGAATTACATACTTGCAGTATGGTTTCTGCCAAACAATCTCTTGTTACAAATTCAGTGCCCTCCCTAAAGCAGTGATGATGGAGCAGAACAATGTCCACTACTGAATTCTTCTACAGAAAGAAGAAAATCATAGTACTGTTTCACAAAAATTAATTGTAACATGGACAATGGAGAAAATACTGGCCAGAGTGGCTAGTAACAAAGTTATAATTGATTTTTTCAGATGACTACTTCCAGGAAAAATATTTATTTTTACTTGAGATATATGGAAAAATACGCATTGATCTCCTGCTGCACCAAATTCTCTATGGCGACAGTGTTTTAACTTCTTTTAAAAAGCCTATCAGCTGGTATAAACTTCCTTTCTCTTCTGATGACCACCAGAGGACATCAGAAGCATTCACTTTCATGTTTACCTTAAATAAAGCTCTCCACTACATCTGAGATTTTGTCTGTTAATCTGTGGGTATGTTCAGCATAACAATAAAGCAAGAATTCTGGGTTTTCATGGATGAGGCAGTGCACTGGGGCATACTAACCAATCACTCCTAAAGCAAATAAGAAGGATTAATCACTCTGAACTTTGCAACCATTGCTTGCTTATTGGGGTATCCAAATCCTGCTTACCTGGAGAGGAAACTTTTGCAGAACAAAATCCCACTGTGTCTATGGGACTTGCTTCCACACAAGTCCATATAAAATTATATCTTAATGTTACATCTGAGAGGGCACCAAGTAAAGGGAGAGTATATTACCGTATTTCCAAATATGCAAACACTACTATTTTGAACCAAATATATGGCTTATTTAAATGTACCACAGAATCACACTTTCATGACTTTATGAACCTAGTTAAATTTATCAGTTCGTTCAATCTAATAGATATATTTCTGAGGGGAAAATTCCTCTAGAAATCTTTCAGATATATGAGGCTCTGGAAAATTTTCTGGTCACAAAATTTCTAGAAAATCCATATTGCTGCAAAATGAAAATCTATTGTTGAACTGAATAAGAATAAAAACACTACAGTAGAAAAATACAAACTCACTTGCTATGAGTTGTAAGACTAATAAAACCAAGTAAAATGTGAACATTTATCACTACAGCAGAACTTACTCTTTCTCAACAGTTAGATCTGAGGTGGCCCTGCAGGGTTTAGCTGCATGTTCAAATTGTGCACAGAGTATTCATTTTTCCTTCCTTCTGTTAAGCAAATGTAAGTTCTGGAGAAATCTAAACCAAGACACATATTACAACATGCTTCCAATACCATATTTTCTCCCGGAACACAAATGATCCATCTGAGCCTTCCTGGGAGTAACAAGTCCTACACCCTGGAATGCTCTGTGGAAAACGACAAGCAGGCTGAGAAACATACTGTCACCTCTCTTCATTAAGCAGATAGATTTTACAGCCTGTACTTGATGAAATGCTTCATTCTAAACAACTACAACTTCCAGAGCTGTAGAGAAAAAAATTATTCCCAACATTCCAAAGCATGCACAACTGTAGCTGCCAGCTTTATTTCAACAGTCTTGTCTTGTTACTTAAGAAATTCACTTTGCAGAAGTTAAGCAGGTGAAGTTTTTCCTGGCAAAACAACTGAATGATGGGAGAATCTTGAACTGCTTGACTGCTGCACATCAATTTGCTGATAAAATACAGAGGTGCTCTCCTAGTTTTAAAAAAACATAACATTTCATAATCAAAATAATGCACAAATAAATATCTCCAATGGATGCTGAAAGAAAAAAAAGCGATATGAGATAATTTGAACCCAGTTACTAAATACAACCGTGAATTGCACAGTTTAGCTATAACATGCTCACTCTATCAACAATGGACTACTGAAGTCCTCCTTCCTATTCCCCTGCCATTCTATCCTAACTGCATATCTGGCTATAGGGAAGAATCTCTAGATAATTAGGCAACAGACTGTTTGTGATGTGAAAACTGGAAAGCTGTGGTTTGTTGGACTGCAAATATTTTTTCCTGAATTGGACCAACCAGTTCACAGAACACCTGTTGACTGAAATAAGTCAGAAACCTCAGAAACAAGGGAACTAAAACTGCATTTCTGCCTAGCAATAGTTTAATGCCACTGGTGCTCTGCCTCCATCACCTGGCTTTTTGAAACTTTAAGAACAAAAGCAGCAATCCACAAGTACAGGCATTAGCCCCATCTGAAGCATGCATCCCTTTTTAAACCTTGGCATCAAAGGCACAGAGGAGAGGGGTGGGGATGGCAGCTCTCAAAATAGAGCATTTTCTTTCCAGGCAAAGAAAGTACAGCAGCATGAAAATCAACATCTCTATCTGATTGCCACCTTCAGGGCTATACTTCCCTTGTGCTTATGCTGCTGAAGCAGGGGCAGCCAAAGGAAAGGTTTGAGAACAGGGAAGCCCAGACAACCACGATTTGCAAATTTCTTTTGAACGCTAATTACTATGTATTCTCCTCTTGGTAGAACTGCTCCTTTCCAAACAAACCCTTGAGCAAAAAGCCCACAAGATCCCCCAAAATAATAATTAGTAAAAGCTTTCCAAACTCTGCTGATGTCACAACTTGTTTACTTTACCTCATTTGAACTTGCTAAGTCAATCAACAGCTTTTCTTTTCCTCCAAAAATACACTTCTGCACCTTATTTAAATTAGACAAAGACATTTTCATCTGGAATATTTACCTTCTCTTATCTGGAGAACGTTTGACACCTACTGCTACTTGTCACAACGGTTAACGATTATCTGAGAATCAAAGCTCACTGGTTCTCTGAATCCTAAATAATTCTAAATTGGGTTAATAGGAAACAGGAGTCTTCAATAAAGAAAATACAAATTCCTGTTGAAGACTTCCTCCTCTAATCCAAACAATCAGGGCACAGAAGAACATATTGGAGTGAAAGGAGGAGCACTAAGAAATATTTCTCGACTTAGCACCTTCAAGTAAGGGTCAAATAGACATGCTGTGACCCCAGTAAAGCCTAAAAGTACCTGAGGAGCCACTCCACTGAATTTCTGCCATCCATTTCCAGGAGCCTCATTACTCATTAGGCTCTTCACAGGGAACCTCTCAAAGAACTACTTGTTCCATGAAATCTTGCAACTCCATGGAGCTTTGTTATTCCCAGCCCTCACCTGAACAGTTTCCATCTTCTTGAAAGGCTAATAAGGGCAATGGAAGCAAGAAACACTGCTCTGCATACTTCTGGTTGCATCTTCAAACTTCTGTCTGGGACAATTCTGAGAGCGGCAATTCAAAAACTGCAAATGTCCCATCCCCTTTCAGTATTATCTGCCACACTAGAGGAAAAACGTGCAAACCTGTTGTGGTCAGGCCCCACTTGGGTGTATTTATATTCTCCTTGGATCTTCTCCTTTTGGAAAAACTGATTCAGGCGTGCCTTGGCATTCTCCAAGGTCCAGTTCCCATGAAGGCCAGCATTTAAGTCTACTTCTTCTGACTCCAAGGTCTAGGTGTAAGAAATAACCACTTTGTAATTAGAAATTAGAAATGCCTCTCTTAATATGGGTGCATCCTGTTGTACGACACAGTAATATGTACAGTTCCCTATCTAGTTAATAAGTAAAACAGGATTTTGGCCAGCATGTTTGGAAGATGGTAGAATAATGCCAAGTATTTTACGAAATAGATTTTAAGGATTGTCTCTACTCTTGTGTTAAGAGTTTCCAGTGAAACTCTAATAGCATGCATATAGTATTAAAAATTTAAACTTCCAGTGGGACATGGTTAGCTCATTAAATTAATAATGATTATTCTACCATCTTCAAACATGCTAGCCAGAATCCTATTGCATTATGCCATTGTAAAGAAGAAGCAATAACCAAACATCAGTAGAAATTTTGCTGGTTAACTTCTGCTATGAATGCCCCGGGGGTATGTAAACAATTGTGTAACTAGGCAAGGGACAGCAGCCAGCATATGGTGAAAACTACATAGAGTTCTACAATAAGATTGTTCTGCAATGTTCTGCAATAAGAATGTGAGGGCTGGGACAATAAGATTGTTCTACAATGTCCTGCAATACGATTGTGACTAGAAAGCTCACAAGGGTAACCAATATTTTATTTCTGATGTTTATTTAGAGGAATATAAAATCAAATTTGGGGGCCTTACTTGCAGAATTATCCAACTGCTTACCCTGAAACACTTCACACACACTCCTTTCAAAACGCATAACTATTATCCTACTTGAAGGAAGAGGGAATGTGCTTAACTAAAGATCAAATCTAAAATTTAAATGAATAGAGGTAAACAAGAGGGAAGGAAGAGGAAACCTTACCGCCTGGGCCTCTTGCTCTTCTTTCCTTGAATAATAATCCTTGAGATTAGCTCCACGGTCCCACTGAGCACCACTGTAACCAGAGCTTCCTATTTCAGAAGGTGAAGCACCATCTAACACAAGGAAAAGAGAAACCCAAATATTTTCTAGTAGAGATAAAACATATGTCATGAATAATACACAAAGAATTTATTTTGGTAAAAAGCCGAAATAACAAAATTCATGTCAGTGTCCAATTATTTCTGGATCTAAGTGTTTAAACACTGGAAGTGAAAGAAAAGGTTGAAAGAAATGGAATAAATATCAGATTTAAAGTAAAAAAATATAATAATAACACTGATTGTGTGTACCTATTGTTGAAAGAAATGGAATAAATATCAGGTTTAAAGTAAAAAAATATAATAATAACACTGATTGTGTGTACCTATAGTAATATATTGTGTTATCGCAGTGGAAGTGGCCTTCACAGCTAATAACTAGCACTTGATTACAAAATCAGCTATTACAAATCTCTTGTAACAATGAAACACAAACAGGCAGCAGCTGCTTGAGGTCTTATAGAAACAGAATAATTGAGTTAGAAGGAGCCTATAAGACCATCACCTTACCCATCTGTGTTTTGATTGCCAGATGGGGAGGAACCGGCCCACCGGTGGGAGCATCACACTCATCTGCTGTGCCTTCTACTCCAGTGATGCCTCCACTAGGAGTCACCTAAACAAAAACAAGTGATTACACAAACCATAACATCTTAGAAGGAGTGAACTTTTTCTCCAACCATTACAAACCCTCATGTAGCTCAATATGATGGATAATAAAAAAGTGATCCAAGCTTAGTTCAGTCTTTTCCCCCTCTGTATCCAATACACTAAGGTACCCAAGTGTGGTACAGTGGACAGAGCAACAAAGGAAACCTGCATTTGAATCTTTGTTCAGCTGTGGAAACTCAGAGGGGATGACACTGGTAAAATCATTCCTTAAATATCTCTGTCATCTTGAAAACTTTGTGTCATTTTACGTTGGATGTGATGTGGCAACACATAACATACCCACCAAAATACTGCTCCAAAACTAGGTAAGTAAAACCACATGAACATATTTACAGATATTCTGTATTCCAGATTGTGCATCCCTACGGCTCTTGCTCTCTTTTCACTGTCTTTTTATAAAATGTCCCAGCCCTTAAGAATGTGGCTGAATGTTTTAAAGATGTATGCTTCATAAAGGTAAAGGTAAAGGTTCCCCTTGACAATTTTTGTCCAGTCGTGTTCGACTCTAGGGGGTGGTGCTCATCCCCGTTTCCAAGCCATAGAGCCAGCGTTTGTCCAAAGACAATCTTCCGTGGTCACATGGCCACTGCGACTTAGACACGGAACGGAGTGTCACTCCGGAAATGATTGGAAAGATAAGTGAGGCCAGACACGTGAGTGGACAGTCTGGCCCGAGGGGCTGGACCCACATTAAGTCCAGTTGCGTGGGAATATTCATATACGAATTGCAGATGTACAGATCTTACAGCACAGAGGCTTCTGCGGTTTAACCTGCAGCGCCACCACATCCCTGCAGCGCCACCACGTCCCTGGTGGTGTGCTTCATAAAGACTCCTAAATACACTTCATACGTGTTTTTTAATATATAGATAGGAAAAATAAACAATAACCATCAGTAACATTCTCTTAGCTAGGAAGGGGGCAAGAACAAAATGTTTGCAACCGAAAGTCAGTTCTTGAATAACCAATAATTGTTGTTCCATGAAACGAAGTTATTTTCACAATTTCACAAAACATCTTTCCAGAATCTAAACTGGTCTTGTGACAGTCCCATAAATGTAAACTTGTTGCTGATACATGTAAGAAAAAAAGGTGACCTGATGTCCATAAATCAGTCTTCTTCTATTCCTTTTACTTCTCATATTTTGCATATCAATTAGAGATGGGGATATTCATGTACGAATACAAATATTCCCACGCAGCTGAACTTAATGAGGCTGGACCATCCACTCGCGTGTCCGCCAGCAGCAGCCTTGCTTATCCTTCCAATCACCCTCAGAACACTGCTCTCTTCCCGCTTGGCTGGCCACGTGGCAGCCGTGCAGGAGACTCGTGCTCTGTCCCCCTGCCTGGAGTGGCTAGCCGAGCAGGAAGAGAGTGTCACTCCAGGAATGATTGGAAAGATAAGTGAGGCCAGACACGTGAGTGGACAGTCTGGCCCAAGGAGCTGGACCCTCATTAAGTCCAGTTGCGTGGGAATATTCATATACGAATACTCCCATCTCTAACATCAATCTTTCACTGAATGCAACTGACCATACCCAATCAATTCAAGAATCTATTGACAAACCATTCACATTTTTCCACTTCTGAGAAATTTCCATTCCTGCAGCTACTAATATTATTACTGTCAGTTCTTTATACAGTATTGTACTATAGGGGGACACTCCAACCATAGATGTATAAATGCTGTAATACTGTAATATTGTTGGCTGTGTGCTGTCAAATTTGAATAATTTAGGAGTGCTTAAATTACTACCTTTAATGTATTTTCACAGAACTGGACATAAATTAATGTGAAAGAAAACACTGACAAAATATTTCCCTATATATATAACCTATTGGTTCTCATGATGTCTCCTTGTTGTTCCCCACGTCAATCCTTTTCAAAACCAATTCTATGCCATGCAAGCTGTCAAACATCTCCATTGCAAGGCACTATACAACATTCACAGATGTGTAAAAACAAACCATGTCAAAACAAACCACAACAGCACACAACTACAGTGGTGCCTTGACTTACAAAATTAATCTGTATTGTAATGGTGGCCACAACTCAAAAATTCTGTAAGTCAAAGCACCATTTCCCATAGGAATGCCTTGAAAAGTATTTAATCCGTTCCAGCCACAGGAAAAAAACACACCAAAAAATGCTGTAAAAATAAAACAATGCAAGCCCCTGGGGCCACAAAAAAAAATCCCAAAATTTGCTGCGGAGGCTTTCAGGGCTTCCAAAGCACCAGCACTCGATGCGGTGGTCAGGGAAGCTTTGGAAGCCCAGGAAGCCGGGTTTCCAAAGCCATCCCCACTGCCCTCTGCCTCCTGTCCCCTCTGCCTCCTGCAGCAGCGGAAGCAGCGGGGATGGGAGGCAGAGGGCAGCGAGGACAGGAGGCAGAGGGCAGCGGGGACACCTTTGAATTTCCCGCCCTTTCCCCCTGCCTTTTTCCTTTTGTAGGTCGAAGCTCCAGCCGCAAGTCGAACCAAAATGTTGCAGTCGGAGCTTTCTGTAACTCGAAATTTTCATAAGTAGGGATGTTCGTAAGTTGAGGCCCCACTGTATATTATGACTACAAGTCTATAGCAGACCAGAGTGGGTGTGCTAAGTGCAAAATAAATGTAGCCTTGAATATAAAACCACCGTGAACACAAACTTGGGCCACATAAACCACATATCCTACTTGTGGCACATCTACTTACTCCAAAGGCTGGAATTTCTTCGCTCTTCATTTCATTCACTCGAACAAGATAATTGAGGAAGTCTCTTGCAGCATTCGTCTGGGCATCCTTTTTGTTGGTAGAGTTGCCCATGCCAATGTAGTTGAAGCCTGTCACACGAACCTGTCACATGAACACTGCAAGTAACCACACAATTCTCCGCAGCATAACACCACACTGTGCAAATCATTTCCAACTGCCTTCACGTTGAGGAATACAGAAGCACAAAACAGTCTAATATGGGATAATCAGTCTTCTTGAAAGTGAGCATATTATATAGAAAGCCAACAAGCCCTGTGCTCAGGGCCTGGTGCTAGTGCTATCTTCTCTGGGCTTAATTTTTGGTTCTTCTGTCTGAAAATGTTAATCAAGACTGCTTCAGAGAGGTGCTACTATTACTTTCAACTCATTCCTCTCTCATAAGTATAACAAACATCTCACAAAAAATGGGCCACAACTAAAATCAAGTACTTAAGTCAAATGAAAAAAGTGGAAGGGCTTTTCAGAAAATAATAAAACCAACAGTAGAGCCAAATCACTGCCTTGCCCTGCATACAGTTTTATAACTAAACTACAACAGGACCCCTGTATCTACAGGATCAGTATTGGCAGTTTGTTATCCATGGTTTACTGCACCTCTAATATACAGCATATAAGGGGGCAGGCCTCCTGGCCCTTGTCCGACCTCCCTGTACGTTGTATAGAGATGGGCAAAGATCACAAAAACAGTGCTTTGTGATGGTTTATGGGTCATGGCTACCCACAAACCATCTAAACTGTTTAAAAAAATAAACCACAAACCAGTTTTGCTTTTTTAAAAGGTTCATGCGAGGGGGAGGGAAAACTAACCCCCTACATCCTACCCTTGCCCCCTTCCCACTGCCTCATCACCTCCGTTCTTGGTTCTGCTGCCTCCTCCTCCATCGCTGCACATGTGAGAACTGGTGTTGCACAACCCCAGTCTGGTGCCATGGAGCCTCAACCTGGTGCCACACGGTGCCGGATCACCCACTTGCAGCTCTACAGCCTGCCCTTGCTCCCTGTCTCTACGAACTGCCTACCAGGCCCTGTCGCTTCCTCCTCTTCCTCATTCGTGGCTGCCATCTTGAGGTGGCAGCAGAGCTCTCCTTCCAGAAGCTGGGTCTGCTTCTCTGCACATGCATCAGCCTATCAGTTGATAAGTGGGGCATGCACACAGACTGCAGGCTCAGCTCCTGAAAGGGGAGCCAGGCCTGATGCATCTGAAGATGGCGGTGGAGGACAAAGAGGAGGAGGCAACAGAACCAGATAGGGCGGCGATGGGGTGGTGGAAACGGGGTGGGGGACGAACCAGGAAGTTCATTAAATCATTTTAAAAGTTTGTGGTTCAGGTGAATTCAGGTTCATCAGTTTTGATCAACTCAAACAAGTAATTTTTAACAAACTTTTTGGTTTATTTCTTAGTTCATGTCCATCTCTAATGTTGCATATACCAGAGTTCCCCAACCCTGGTCCACAGACTGCTCCCAGTCTGTAGCCTTACCAGGACCAGGCCGCGGAGACAAATCTCCTGCCCACCCCTCCCCCGCACATACAGATGCATGTGTGCCCCTCCCACGCATGCACAGCCTCTCCCACGCACGCAGGGCCCCTCCCACAAACACACACACAACCCCTCCCACACAGCCCCATTAAACCGTTCCGTGGAGGTAAAAAGGCTGGGGACCACTGGTATGTATGATTCACAATTATCTGCAGTTTTCAGGTATCTGCAGTAGATTGCAGGACAGATCCCCCATAGATACTGTTGTCATGCTGTAATGTCAAATAGAATGGTAACTGCCAGAGGGTACCAATACTACCCAGCTTTTGTAATGCTGAATTTGCTTCAGCAATGGTAGTAACAGCCCCTACTCCCATTTGCTCTGAAAACAAGACCTGTAGGCAGCATACTCTTTGTTTTCAAACAAAAATGCATAGCTAGGATGATGATTCAGCTTTTAAAAAAAAGCCCCCTGCAACACCTGTTTGAAAGAAAAATAATGACATTTTACACTGCCATAGTAAAACATTCAATGGTGACTTCCGTCACAGACAGAAGCCTTTGGTTATCTCTTGGGACAAAGAGAATCTTGTTTTCAAAAGGAAATTCACTTCTCCAAACATATTAATTTAACCAAGCAAGCAAATCTTCAGTCAAGCTCTCCCTGAGTGAATGGCTGTCAGGGTTTGGTTTTTTTTTTTTAAAGGTTGTTCTACCTTACTGCATCAAAGTTGCTAACGTTTTTTGGTACTGTATTGCACTGATCCTTTTAATACTGTATACTCATTGTTACTAACATTGTCTTTTAATTGCTGTAAGTCACCTCCAGTCCTTTTTAAGGAGAATGGAGGATTAAAAATACATTAAACAAACTATTAAATGTTCCACACACTCTTGCACAAATCTATGAAGCTAAATGTGACTAGGTCATGCCCTGAATAAACAATAAATACTTATACAGCCAAACTTTATTAGTGACCAAGTAAATACTACTTTTCACTCTTCTGGCAGATTTTTTTTTCCTAGGCAAATTTATACATGTCTATAGTAAGATACTTAATGAATAAATGCTTCAAGCTGTTCACAAGCTTGGGGTCCTCACCTCACACATGAACTTCTGTCGGTTCTTGTTGCCCACAGCACGAATTTCATAAGCTGGTGTGACTTTCCGTTTGCCACACCAGGCATACAGGAAATTCTTGACATCCCCCATGGCTGCAGCAGTCTTATGGGAAAAATAAAATCACAGATATACAGTACTAATATAAGGATTTCTTGGTCTATCAGAGAAAAAGCCTTTCTAATTGCTTATGTCAGTTTTTTTTCTTGTTGTAGATGTAATCCAGTAGCAGGCTGTTAGCTGTCCATCTTTTTCGTACATGCAACCAAGATAGAGAAGGCAGGAAATCACAATATTGCAAGATCAGGTCTCCCTCTACTTCAGAAATTTGACTTTCTTAAATACTTAAACCTTTTTTAAAGTCCTGCAAACTTTATGAAGTCTATAGAGATTGTCATGCGGAAGAATGTCTTGTATGTAGGACACATGACAAAAGAGGGAAGAAAGTACAGTAAAAGGTAGATCCATGGAATCAAGAACCTATCCTCATGATTTCATATGATTTTTACGGGGGAACCTTGTGAAATCACCATCAAATCAAAGATTCCATCTATGTCCACAGACTGGATCCTTAGTGCATGGCTTTTCCAGTGGCACAAAAACATCGATCTGAGGCTCCACATGATTTCATATTATTCACATGATTTCATATTATTTTTACATTAAATCCTGCCTAAATCACCATCAGATCATAGCTCCCCTCTATACCCACAGACAACACCACAGAAATCACGTGTTCATCGGTGTATGGCTTTGCAGTGACACAAACACTTGGATCTGAGGTGTGGATTCTCATGATTTGTTTAATGTAGGATCATCCCCAAACCACTTTCCAGTTACAAATGCCCTCAGTGCTGACAGACTATATGACAGAAATTATGGGTCCATCAGCACATGGCTTTAGTGTCACAAAAACACCAATCCAAGGCACAGATCCTCATGGATCCATCTGATATTTACATAGGATTCTCCCCAAACCATTCTCCAATCATTGGGGCCATTAGTGCCCATAGACTGCAACACAGAATTTATGGGTTCTTCACTACATGGTTTTGTGGTGGTGCAAAAAATAGATCTGAGGCATGGAGCTTCATGGATCCACATGACTGTTCTGTAGGATCCTCCCCAAACCAGTCTCCAACCATTGGGGCCATTAGTGCCCATAGACTGCAACACAGAATTTATGGGTTCTTCACTACATGGTTTTGTGGTGGTGCAAAAAATAGATCTGAGGCATGGAGCTTCATAGATCCACATGACTGTTCTGTAGGACCCCCCCCCCCAAACCAGTCTCCAACCATAGGCACCATCTCTGTCCACAGACTAAAAACCAGAAATCATGGGTCTTTCAGTGCATGGCTTTGCAGTGGCACAAAAAGAACAATCTACATGGTTTTTATGTAAGATCATCCCCAAACCACTCTCTACAATCACACACCCCATCTGTGCTGACAGACTAACATCTAGAACCTATGGGTCCATCAGTGCATGATATGCAATGGACCAAGAGGAATTAATGTCTTCTAGTTTTAATACTTGCCTCAGGTAATTTCTGTGTTGTAGTCTGAGGGCACAGATAGGAGCTATGTACCTATGAAATGACAGTGGGTTAGAGGGGATTCCATCTAAAAATGAATTCATGTGGATCTGTGTCCTGAATCTATGTTTTTGCACCACTACAAAGCCATGTGCCAAAAGATCAATAATTTCTGTGGTGTACTCTGTGGGCATAGATGGGATCTATGATTTGGTGGTGATTTGGCAAGGATCCCATGTAAAAATCATATGAAATCATGGAAACCCATTCTTGATTTCATGGATCTGCTTTTACCCAGACCCACTTCTAGTAACAATTGATTATGGCAGACTTAGAAAGGTGAAATAAATTAAACAACATTGCTTACTGAACCAACTTATATTTCTTTAGTAATGCGGAAGCTTTGGAGAGACAGAATTTACCAGAAGCTGATACAGTAATCTTTTGGTGCCTGGGAATCCAACCTATTTTATTAAACCCTAATTTTTTCATTTGTAGACCCTACTTCATCAGATGGCATCAAACAACTGAACAATAAACAACAAAAACAAATAACCTATCAAAGCTAGATTACTACAAGAAATACTTTGATCTAATAATCAAAACAACACTGTGACAGTTTTGATAATTATCACTCTCCATTTTCGATAGTTTTAATTAGAATACTAATTTGCTTATTCCTCAAACATTCAAGACTTCCAAGTCAGCTCCCAAACTGAACAGCAGTTATTTCCTATACAGTATGGCTTCCGCAGTGGCCCTCATAGTCAACAAAAGAGTGGGAAAAGCTGTAATGGGATACAATCTCAAAAATGAGAGAATGATGTCAATACGAATCCAAAGCAGACCTTTCAACATCACAATAATCCAAGTTTATGCCCCAACCACCATTGCTGAGGAGACTGAAATTGAACAATTTTATGAAGATTTACAACACCTTCTAGAACTGACACCAAAGAAAGATGTTCTTCTCATTCTAGGGGACTGGAATGCTAAAGTAGGAAGCCAAGAGATAAAAGGAACAACAGGGAATAAGTTGTAACAATTTCTATGATATTTGGGGTAAATTTGTGGAATTTGTGTTAGTGAAAGGAAGGGGGAAAGCCTCTAAAGAATAATCAATACAATTTTGGAGAGGTAATACGTAAAAAAAAATTTATTATAGTAAATAGAGTCCCGTGGGTATGGGGTGCACGTTAGAATTTAGTTTATAATAAGCACTATTACTTGTATTTTTGTTGTGTTTTTGATGTTATGTATGTGTTTTTTTCCGTATTTTTTGTATAAAATAAAATTTAAAAAAATTTAAAAAAATAAAGTAGGAAGCCAAGAGATAAAAAATAGAGTCCCGTGGGTATGGGGTGCACGTTAGAATTTAGTTTATAATAAGCACTATTACTTGTATTTTTGTTGTGTTTTTGATGTTATGTATGTGTTTTTTTCCGTATTTTTTGTATAAAATAAAATTTAAAAAAATTTAAAAAAATAAAGTAGGAAGCCAAGAGATAAAAGGAACAACAGGGAAGTTTGGCCTTGGAGTTCAGAATGAAGCAGGACAAAGGCTAATAGAGTTTTGTCAAGAGAACAAGCTGGTCATCACACTCTTTTCCAACAACACAAGAGGCGACTCTATACTGTACATGGAAATCACCAGATGGGCAATATCGAAATCAGATTGATTATATTCTCTGCAGCCAAAGATGGAGAAGCTCTATACAGTCAGCAAAA